GGGGGGGGGGGTTGCTTTACCATGAGGATGAAAGATATTGTAAACCGAGTTCACTGCAGGCCTTGAGACACCAAAGTCACCTTCAACATCTTCGTCGTGATCGACGCCTGGAACTGGAGGTCGTAGCTTGTCACCTATGCGAGGAGCGAGAGAGAATCAATCACTCGGTCGATTCAGGTGAATTCCTGTTCTAGAAAAAGTGCTTTTTTCGCATACCTTTCAACAATAAAAATAATCCTACAGGACTTCCAATCGCTAAAAAAGACGTAGCTATGTGAATCAGTGCTCTCAGAATGAAATAGCACCCAAACACGAACTCACTCATCAGCTTATCAACCTGAAACTCCAGCTTCCGATAATGAATCTCTCCTCCAACAGGATTCCTCAATCTGTCTCTACTCTTCTTCATCTTTAGCCCACTATTTGTATTTCCTCCAGCACCCTCATTAGAGGATGGTCCGCGGAAATCACCCAAATCAACACCAGGACCAAACGAGCGCTGTCGTGATAATTCAGCTGCTTCACCATCATGTGCGGTGTCGTCATCTGATGGATCAGGTTGATTGCATGCAATGTCGAATGCCATTACAGAACCAAGTGAATGGCCGTATAAGTGGACTTTGCCGTTGAAATTTGGATTTCGAGCTTTAAAGAGTCGGTATATCCTAGGCAACAAAAAATGAGTGACCTGCGAGTTGCAAGTGCATTGAAAGCATCTTCATTGTACCTGTTCAGTTCATCAGTGACACTGTTGATCATCTCTTGACGATATCGAGTCGTCATATACAGCAAGACATCTAAGGATGTAGAACTGCGTTAGGGAATCCAAAAAAAACAAGCACCAAAGGCCGGATTATGCCTCACCAAGCACAACATCCGAAATCAGCATGCGAATACTGGGAACACCTTCCAACGTAATATCCTCCAACGTAGTATGCTGACTATCATCCTCCTCTTCCTCCTCAGCACTGTTCTCACTCACAACCGAGGTGGCAGCCGTATCCTTCTTACCAGCACCATTCTCAGACACATTGGACTCAGAAGCATCAGTAGGTATCAGCTGTCCAGCACCAACAGGCCCCGCTAAAGTACCATTGGTTGATACAGCAGCAGCGAGTGCATCACGTTGAGCTTTAGCTCGACCACCAAACTGGATCTTTTGTCTCCATATTACGGGTAATACTTGTACACCACCACCGTCAGGCATTTTCATGTGTTTGTTTGATGATGACGTGGCAGATACAGGTGGCGCTTTGAGTTTCTCTGAGGGCATTGGTGTGGGCGCAACAAGTTTAGAGCCTTCTCTGAATGTGTGCCGTAGTACATTGCAGTCGTGGACAAAATTGACCGATTCGATCTTCTCACCAAGCTTCTGACCAATGCTACAGTAATTGTCGAGTTAGTTGTGGAGTATCTACATCCATTGATGCACCAGTCCGGCTTTTTTTGCTACGACTACAATAGACATTGTTTCGCACGCTGCACGTACCCATGAATAGCCAATATCAAATGCTGAATATCGCGATCTTTATCCTCATTCTCATTATAATCTTCCTGCTCCATCTTCTCCTGAGTCTTCCTCACATCATTCGACGTGACTTTACCAGTCGACGTAACCTGACCAGCTACATCCTTGATTGTAGTCACACTCTGTTTAGCATCTTCCGGGACGAGAGAAGCACCACTCTTCTTCTTTTCGACTGTGTTCGTGGTTGGTTTCTTCTTGGATAAGAGACTCTCGAGTTCATTGTATCCTCGAACGAGTCTCGTTCCACCTGACAGTCGAGATAGTATCGAGTCTGTCATGAGCCAGGCAGTTGAAGCGTTCGAATACATGGCATAGTTGTGTAGATATGGACCAAGAAGTTGCCATTTGGGACCATCTGCTGTTGCTGGTTTTACTGGTTTTGGTGAGGTGGTGGGCGGAGCTAGGTGAGAGTCAGCGGATTCTTCTACTATTGGATCCTTCCATGGTTGGAATTTCCTGTTCATGAAAATGGTTGTTTGACGACCGCAGAAAAAGAATAATCTTCGAGAACGAATACGGACCTGTAACCATCTTCCAATTGACGACCCAAGTTTGGTTCACAAGGACTGAATTTAGCACCATCTGTGCTCATAAACCACGCCCCACGTCTTATCTCGTATACTGCCCCAAACCAATACAGTGGATAGTGCGACATGGTTTCCACATCAACCTAAAGTGTCGATAACGATGAATAACCCATCCGATCAGAGACACATGAATACAGATCCAACCTCAAACAAGCGATCTTCACCAACAGCGACTTTCATTGGTCCAGCCTGCTCAGCAGAAGTAGCATGTTTCTCATCATCCAAGTTTGTTGGTCTACTTGCGGTGAAGCTTCCTCTCTTTGCAGCTAGCGCTTCTTTATTTGTTAGCCAAGTAGCTTCAATAGCAGCTGAATCTCTTGGCGAAAACGGTAGCCAAGTTGTAGGAGACGCCTTTATCTGATGTGTCTTGTCAGCAACATAATTCTTGACCAGCTTGAACGCTGATGTGTCGTATTTCGGAGCATCGGTTGCATGAAACCATCTAGGTGAGTGATCGTGAATGTTAGTAACGATATTAAGAATATATAATGAATCTGAATTGGTCGACTCTTCCAATGCCAAACGACTGTGGCTTCATAGATTAGGTTTTGACAAGGAACGTGATAAAACATGAAATATACAAGATAAAGGCAATGGAAAACGCTATATATACCTGATTACGGGTTCCGGATAGCTGTCAGTAGCCATACCACGCGTCGCTCTTCTCTCTTGCTAATCGATAGGAAATGACGGTTCCAACAGATTTCCTTTTCTTCAGGAAAACAACATCCACAATAAGCACTCGCTATGATGGTTACCGCGTGGGAGAGCATTTTCATTTATGAAGATGTGCAACCATGCAGATGGTATTGCCTATGATGTTGTCGAGTCGTCTCGTGGATGGAGATAAATTCATTACAACTCTCTGGTCGGGTGCCATCCCCGAGATCTGCTTCTTTCATGGGGCATCCATGAAAGGCGAAGGCAATGTCTGGAGAGATATCTGTTGGCTCTTCCTCTCTTTTTATTATTTGGGGTTTACTTTGATGTTGGGCATCAACATTTGGTCTTGAAAAAAAAGTTGAATGTTTGGATGGTGGAGGCTAGAAGAGCGATGGAGGAGGATTAAAGAACGATTGAAAGCTATCTTGATGAAGTGGAGGTTTCTTTGGTTGAACTGTTGGGATGTCAAAGCCTACTTGTACTCTGGTCCAAAAAAAAGAAATGATATACCATCTGGATACATCCCAAGGTTGTTTGCACTGTCAACGTGTCTCAATCCCTGCTATAGTCCATGTCATGAACCTTCCACCTACACAATTCCATCCACCTTAGTGATGCGCGTTGTGCTCTTCTGCCAAACGGTGTCTTAGCGACTAACAAAGTACAGAATTGATATATCCAAAAAGTTGTTTTATACGTTTAAAATGTATCAGTTACTACTACTAATCAAAAGGACATAATGCCCCATGCCAATCCATTCAAGCTGGGCTCAAAGCAATAGCACCTGTCAGTTTGCTCTTCTTGATAAACAGACTCAACAAAAGGGCAAGGGCTGCAAATCCTGCTGCAAGCTTAAAGTTCAGTTGCACGGCTCCCACAATAGCATGAATGTATCCTGCCTTGTATGGTGGTGTTATGAATTGGAGTACGCCTACATTGCCTAGAATAGCTTCTGCTGGTGGAAGCTGAGCAACTGCTGCTGCCGGTAACGTTGAAAGGTAGTTGTTGATCCCAGTAGTTGTCTGGTTGTTGAATACGTTGGCGCAGATTGCGATACCTTGACGAGTGTGGTAGCGTTAGCAAAATACAGCACGTCACCAGTTCAAGTTGATTGATGACGACTTCGCGACTCTTACCAACAACAGCTCCCAACGTCTGTCCAAAGTTCGACAAGGCGGTAGCAGTTGGTACGTCATCTTCGGTCTTGGCTGAGGCCTGAGCTGCAATCAAGAGCGTCTGTATAAGGGCGCCACCACCCACTCCAGCAAGTAGCAAGTATCCAATTTGCATCGCAGTACCACTGAATTCGTCTAATGTACTTGTTAAAACGGCACCGGTGATGACTAGGGCACCTCCGATTGGGAAGAATGGCCAATACCATCCAGTTACTATGTGCAAGTCAAATCAGTGGATGCACCAAAAAAGTTGATAAGAAAGGAAGCATACCAGCGGTTGCACCTCCCGAAACAATACTGGCAAACACTACACCAAGGATGAATGGTAGGATACGTAAACCTGTGCAATAGAGAATCAAAGATGTCAGTTTAATGAAGTTGCGAGTAACAGTGCAACAACGGTGGAACTTACCGGCAGTTGTAGCCGAGTCTCCGTCCACGATTTGGTAGTAGTATGGAAGGTAATTGATCTAGCAAGTGGGAGCTTGTGTGAGAAACTTACAAATTGTAGATCAATTCAAGAGGATTTTTTGACACTCACCAAAACAAAGAATGTCATTCCAAAGAAGAATGAAGCCAGAATACTACATGTCAGTGATACATTTGTCAACAATCCGAACGGTAGTACTGGTTCAACGGCGAATCGAAGTTCAACAATCACAAAGAGAACCTTTGAGAAAAACGAGACGTGTAAGTATACTCAACAAACAAGACGGCGAAACGATCCACAATGTGAACGACACTCACAATTAGGACACCAGCTGCCACAAAGAATCCAATAACAAAGCCTGAATTCCATGCGTAGACCGTGCCACCATTGACTAAACACAGCACCAAACAAGCGACAGCTGCAACCAGCAGTAGAGATCCCATAACATCAATTCTCTTGACACCATCCCAGAAGGAACTACTTCGTTTGCCGAGGTTCAGGTAGACCACAATGACTAGTACGGTGATAGCTCCGATTGGCAAACTGTGATTTCGTTAAATGTGAGCCGATGTAGGTTTGCAATTGATATTGAGTAAATGTAGCGTTTTTTGCTTACTTGACTAAGCGACAAAGTTGAATGTTAGAATCAAATGTGTCTAAAACGTGACCAATTACAAAAAAAACACGTACTATAAAAGCACCATCGCCAGGTTATGTGGTCGACACTAATTGCCACAGCAACGCAAGTTAGAACAAAAACAAAAAAATTACGAATGCTACCAACAGATCCAAGTTGTATACATACAACGTTCCTCCTAAGAGTGGTCCAGCTACCGATGCAATACCGAAACAACCTACTCGAATGCGATTCATGAGTACTTCTTCAGTGTCGTCTCAAGGTAAACATTACGCTCACCTCCAATGATACCCAAATACGACGAACGTTTTTCGATTGGAACTAGATCGGCAATGATGATGGTAACCTACACATACACAGCAAGATCTAGCATGCGTTACAGCGTTCCTTCAGAGATGAAAGTGCTTACTAAACCTAAGATGGAGGAAAGTTATATTTCTAATTTTAATTTTCTTTTTGGGATGCAACTAGAACACTTACTGAAGATTCCACCTCCACCTAATCCAGCAATAGCTCGCGACACAATCAAGAAAGTCAGTGAAGGTGCTGCACCACACATAGCAGATCCTAAAGTGAAACAAAAGAGTCAGTCTGGCCATACAAGCAACGACGTGGCACCTGCTTACCTAGTTCAAAGATGGACACGGCAATCAAGAAAGCAGTCTTTCTCCCCAATATGTTTGATAATTGGCCCCATGTTGGAATAAATCCAGTTGCGGTTAAGAAATATGCACTGTGTCGTGATTATGTGAGTTGAAGGCGAGGTTTTGTTGGCAGGCTTCGTTTCTTCTCACCTAGCGACCCAACTAATCTGAGATAGCCCTGAGAATTCTATAGCGATAGCAGGGATAGCGACTAGAATAGCAAAGAGATGTTATACACAACCTGAGGCCTGATCAAAAAAGGGCAGTGGAGCCAAACCTGCTATAATAGTCTAGTAGAGGGCAAAGAGCAATGTCAGACACAACGTAAACCAATAAAATCGAACAATTCCACTTGCCTGATCCAAAGCCGCAAGAAAAACCGAGAGAGCCAGTCCGACGAATACCAGTGTGAATCTGAGCAAAAAGTATGCGAAAGGAAGTCAGATCAAGGAATAACATCAAGAGAGAAGTTGAATTAGGAAACATCATATTTAAATCATCGTCCAAAGCAATGAAAATGTCCCCAGATGTAAAATGCAAGGGTGGTTCAAAAACAACCGAGCTGGCTCAAAGAGAAAAGGTGGTGCGGAGAGGCACAACGACGCATGAAATCGACCATTTCAAATACCAGCACCATTTGAATTGATATGTCATCCTGATCACAACCGTTTCTTCTTCATTCCCACCACCCTGATCCCCTCACATGTGAAGATCACCACACATCAATCAATCCCACGTCAACTTCAAAAAAGGAGATATGCTTACTCAAAGTTTGACATGTTCGATACTTGAAATACTTGATCCTCTAGTTCCAATGGCACGGCAGCCTTGTCCTCTGCTGCATCGACCATGGTCGTTGAGTCCAAGATCTGTACTTTTTCCAGGCTCATTGTTGCAAGCAACTAGGATCGAGAGTAGTTCCTTGATTGAGGTAGAGGTGGGTCGATGAATTTTAGAGTGTGAGAGTTTCGCCGCCTGTAAAGCGCTGTTTTTATAGTGATCCTTGGCTGATGTGCTGGCAGTAAGGTGCACCCGTTCCCTAGTGTAGAAATCGGAGGCTTTGGTGTACTTATGAACTGGACCAATCAACGACGAGTAATTTCTTCTTTGCTATTTAGAGCATCCTTGACACGTTGTGAGTGATTTAAATACGTTCGTCATGTTGGAATCTTCATCTGCGTACTTAGACAAAGTTGAGATCAGCCGATTCCAAGGAGTCGAGATTTCCAACAATATGCGGCACGAATAGCTGTGCAGTTATATTAAGTACATTCGTTTTACGAGCATATTCTACTCTACGTAATCTTCATCTTGACTTTTAAAGCGAATACAGACAAGACTTCTTTATCGTTCAAGGAAACGCCATACTGCAACAGCGGTTGCCCTGCTCAAACAGGTTTACATATTTTAAGACTGTTGAGTTTCATTGGCAACAACTTCTGATTTCATAACCTTCACTTCCATTTTGCGGATGACCGCAGGAATATTATCTACTCTCCAGTCGGTAATCAGCAAACTACATCCAGAAAGCCTGTATGTATCCAGATCCCCTAAATCAAAGTTCTCTGCATGGTACATATTCAAGAATACTTTCAGACCTTTTTGAGCTCTTCTAGTGGCAATGCGATTTGCCAATTCTCGGGATGGCATACTAAAACAAACTTGCATTTGCTCCAGCTTGTCCAGTTTGGTGACGAGTAGCTTTATAATTGGATCAATATCGATACACCCAAAGTCCACATCGACCAGATTCAGACAGCACTCTAGTATGGCTTCGATGTTCAAAACCCCATCTTCCCCAGCCTCATGAACATGAGGATCATCAAGCCAACGCCCGATTGTGAGAGACTGGAGTTGGCTGCCATACGTACGTAATAGTAGTAAGGCCTCAATGTGGTTTGCTGGTATGTTCAACGACTCGAGTTTTGGCAACGGGACGTCAGGTAGTGGTGTATTCTAGATTCTGTAAATAGTTGACGGAGAGTGGTTGCGTGGCGTTCAACGAGCTTGGTAGCGAGATTTGAGGGGAGAGGGGATTCATTCAATGTTGTGATACACAGGTGATTTGAGCACATGTCCTCTTATAGGACCTGGATCTCTTGTCTTGGAAGCTTGCTGCAACATATTCCAGTATCTTGTCAACTATCTCAGTAGGCAGCCAGTCTCGTTCTATCACCACTTCGTCGGCAATCTATTCGTTGATTGATGAATGTAGAATGTGATGGTGTTAGCAAACTGATGACATCGAGAAGTTATAAGACAGCAATGAATAGCTCTGAACTCACCCTTTTCTGCTCTGCTCTCTCGCCTATCTTCAGTTTGAATCCAGTCGTCAAAGTAGTTGAAATCAACCAAGCATTTAAACGAAAAAAACAGTTGACGGAATATACGTGAATTGAAGGATGATAACTCTATTTCGAGACTTCAATTTCGCGTCTTTTTTAATGATAATTACTAGGAATGGATTGGAATCGCGTAGAGTCAGTTGGCTTCGTCAAAAGCTAATTTTGATTTTCGCTTAGTTTTGTCCCGTTCGCTTGATCTCCTGCAAAGCAAGGTGTAGCGCAACTCAAAATGCAGAGTCTGTTATTACTTCTAAATGATACCTTGATCACAGATCTTCTCCGTCATCGCTAGATCTGCAGAACGTAAATATGCCCAAACTCAAATTTCAAAGATTAGCTGATAAGGAGGAGGCCGATATTGGACTGGATGACTTTAATGTTGAAAACGAATGGCTGGATGTGGGACTTTATAGTCCCAAAAAGTCAAAGTACGTGTATATTGCGTCCAATATCTGATCAACATCTGCAGCACATGCAGCGTTCGTGACAACAGTACTGATCTGGCAACGCCATGTCAAATAGACCACGGCACCGTCCATTCAAGCCAATTACCATGTTGATGGCTGGTGCTTGCACGTCTCTAATCGTCATATCCGGGATTTACATACTGTTTGCGACGAGACCAACGCCTTCTTCCTCAATCGTCAATAACAATACCACTACTACCACCAGCATCCCAATACCACCTGTAGCTCAACGTAGACCGACCACCATCATCGTAGGAAACGATACAGTAGTGCATGACGACTATGGATGGCTTAAATTCCGGAATGATGTATCTGTTACTAGCTACATCCAGGCAGAGAACGATTATACAACGTCAATGATGGCTTCTACTGTTAGCCTGCAACAGAAGCTAGTCAGTGAGCTACAGGGTTGGAAGGCTCAGAGTAGTTACTCATCTCTGCCGTGTGGCGTGAAGAGTACTTCTGTATGGGAGGCCGGAGAGTACGTGTATTGGATTAGTGAGGATGGAAGCTATATGAGGAAAGCATTGCCGGCGAACTCGTCATGCTCTTGTCCATATCCTGATACTGGGAACTCGGAACTAGTGTTGAATCCTGCCACCATTCCACACAACACATCCTCATATTTCAGTATGGGTATCTTTGAAGTCACCTCATTGAATCTGTTGGCCTACTCGGTAGATCTAGTCGGCAATGAAGCTTACACCATTCACCTAGTCAATTTGACTTCTCATGAACGTATGGGACCAGACATCCACGATACCTATTACAGCGTTCGATGGTTTAGAGAGATTGATCCTGCTGCAGGAGAAAGGGATGTGATTTATTATAACGTTATGGATTCTCTGTTGGGTATCCCGAATCGTATATACCGGTATAATTTGGACGGAATCACGCGAGGAACAGGTAGAATGCAAGGAGAAGAGTTAGTGTATTATGAACCAGATTACAGGTATACCGCTGAAGTGGATTCTACTAATGATGGTCGGTACATCTTGATCAAAGTGAGCGCTGATTTTTCGCTTGCTGCTAAACATTATACGAGGCTGACCGTTGTCTCTTTTCTTTCGCTCCTAGGTTAGTAATCTCATTACATCTGAGATACGAATACGAGGACAAACTTCATCCATCTTTCAAACGGTGTTTACGCGACAAGAAGGAGTCAAATACGATATAGAACACCGAAACGGATACTTGTACATTCGTACCAATGCCGGCAACGCAACAGAATATCAAGTCATTAGAGTACCTGTAGCTGATGTACTTGCTGGACACCAGCCTCCATATCTGTCTATGGTGCTGGCGACTGCACAAGTAGTACTAGCGCATAATTCCAGTCAATTCATTGAACGAATCGAAGTATTTTCACAGCATATGGTAGCTTGGGTGTGGGTTTCAGGACTACGATCGATGGTTATAGTAGATTTGGAATCATTAGCAGCGACTCGAGTTGCATTTGCCTCTCAGAATCCTGCTACTCAAGTGTACTCCGTGATGCCATCAAGTATAACAGATATGGAATCGAGATTGTATAGACGATACAATACGTCTTGCCTTTCGTATTCCAATTCATCGTATCTACAGCCTCGTAATATATACACACTCGATCTGAACCAAACTGGTATTCCTCATACACTCATTGCGCAAGATATCGTAACAGGGTATAATCTGTCAGACTATGCCCAAGATAGATTCTTTACCACCAGTGCAGTCAAAGTCCCTGTTTCCTTACTCCGCAAACGTAAAATCGGCACCTCAGATTCAGTAGACATTACTCTATACAAAGCACGACCATTGCTCATGCTGGCATATGGTGCTTATGGTAGCTTCATAGAAACAGCATTCACACAGGACTATTTCCCATTACTTGATCGTGGTGTTATCATTGCACTGTGTCATCCTCGTGGTGATGGCGATATGGGAGCCAAATGGTATGAGGATGGCCGACGAGTGAACAAGACAAACACATTTGTGGATGTGCATTCGTGTTTGAATGAGGTTGTTGCGAGAGGGATGACAGAGCCTGGGTTGATTGCGCTTAAAGGAAGGAGCGCTGGTGGATTGGTTGCAGGTATGATGATTTATGATGGAGCAACAAAAAATTGTTTCCTTTCGCGGTACAAGGATTTTGAGTAAACTCTCTTTCACCTTGTCACATTTACTTAACACGTAGGAGTCGCAGTAAACGAATGGGGTTACACACCTAATGCTGAATCTGGCCACATCGTCAAAGCAGTAGTGGCTCAAGTGCCCTTTATAGACGTCCTAGGTGACTTGGCTGATGAAGCAGTACCATGGACGCCATACGAATGGAGTGAATGGGGAAACCCCAACAATCCAAGTGATTTATCGATTCAATTACAATACTCGCCATACGAGAACATTGTCAATGGATCTACACTTCCGGCACTGTATGTTTCTACTGGGATGAATGATGGGCGTGTGCCTTACTATGAGCCTGTCAAGTGTAAGTTTGTGTTGCGTTGATTGGAATGGGCTTGGGAGCTTGGGAAGCCAGAGATTGCACAAAAAAACAGGAGCAGGCAAAGAATGATTACTAACAGTACTGTACCTGACTCCTCACTCATTCTTAGGGATTGCGAAACTTCGAACAACACAAGAGACAGTCCCAACAAATGGGGTATGTCGTAGCAACACCACTAGCATGGACGATGCCAGACCATTATTATTGAGAGTTGACGCAGCTGGACATTTTGGAGGCAGTGGTGATGTGAGAATAGCTGCTCTTGCAGAATGGTACGCATTTGTACTCTGCCAGCTCAATGTCGCAGATTGTGCTTCATGTTAGTAAAAACTTGTTTGCATGCACCAGTTTGATATACATATGTATATATTCGGTTCATTTTTGCAATATTGATACAAACAAGCTAAGCTATGGATTGGGGTTGGAATACAAGGATTCTATAAGTACAAGATGACTTTTGACATGGGGTTTCTGCTTTATCAGCAGGGGGGTTTCAAATCTTATGATAGCATTCTGGATTATACCAGCCTAATAGAGCATTGTGTACAAAGAAGTTTGACATGGTTTTGTTGTACTTCATCAGCGGTGGTTCAATCTACATTTCGATTTGATAAGTATTTCATCTGGCCTTAGTAGGCATCGAAAGTACTGACCTCGACCGTAAAAAGTTGCCTGTAACTTCAAATTCGGACCTTATACCAGCTTACGTTGTGACGCAACTGCCACACGTTCGCGTAGTATAATCTTATCCTGGTCTCCTCCACCACCTTGTAAACCGTCAGTTATTGTGCCAAGAAATGTGAGGGTATTCCAACCTTCCAGTACAATGCGAGGATATGACGAAGGTCGTGTCATAACACATGCGAGGATGACGTTTCCAGATAGTGGTATATGAGACCTATCCAAGTCCAGGGATTCTAGACGAGCTAGACGTCCAATCATCAAGCGTAAGATGTCTTCCGTATGAGCAGAGCAGTTCATACATTGACAAGTCACACAACAGAGATTTGGAAGTATTACTGCAGACGTTGGAAATCCACATGGGCAAGTTGACCGACATAGTAGGTCAATGACATGACACTTTTCAAAGGGTTCGTGCTATCAAGCAGACCACTATGCAGATTGTCTTCTAGGAGTTCCAATTCCCGTAAAGCTGGAATATCATTTTGAAACACGGTTGATGCGGATGTATACCACAACAGATACAGGTTTAGCATCTTCAACGTGTTGGAGCTCTTAAGAAACACGATTTCCAGATCGGCATTACAAATATTCAGCAAGGAGGGTTCAACTTAATGCTAAGCTGTTTTGAAACTAACCAGTAATAGGAAAGGCGTCAACCAATTCAAGTGATAGGCTCTCCAGACAACAGTTTGCCAGATTCTCCAGAAGATCAGATGGCAATGGGCCTCGCACGATAGACACGTTCTTCAGACCCGAGACTGCTTCGAAAGCGGTACAGGAAGTGAGTGGATGAGGTTCCTCCCTCATGTTAGTAAAAGAGAGTTTTTACTACCCCTCAATAGACTCATCCGTATAGCATCATCTAGAATAGATTCTGTACTAAATTTTTCGAGCTTCCACTTGCCCGAGGCTTGTTTGAAACCATCAGGGATGTGGTGGTGTCAGCACAAGTAATTTCACACTGAGGTGGTTTTTGACTCTAGCAATTCTATGTCCCGATCTTGTATCCTGCTCTATTTCATATTTCATCTCTGGAGTGCTTCCTCCTCTTACGTCCCATCTGTATTGTTGTCATCGGTGTTAGGAGGATTAAGTTGGTCAGTCGCGAAAACAAGAAAACAGACCCAGTGATTGCACTCGACGCACGTCAATCAAACATATCTCACATCAAATCACGGGAATCTCGTGCATTTACGCGTAATAAAGTGGCTGACATTTGATAACATCCCCTTTCAATACTAGATAATGATGTGCAAGCCAATGCTACCGTATGTTGAAAGAGTTGACGATCCGAGAAAGAACAACCCAGTGGTGGACAAAGCCAACCGCTGATATCAAATTATTTCAGGTCGATATCAAAGTAAAATTCTTCCTTCTTTATAGCCACTTGTTGCGATGGGAATCAAAAAGCTAACTTTCATCAACTCCAACAATTTCAGCATGGAACGACGAATAATCGGACCAAGGACTCCTACGAGACGGCCTCAACCATTTGGATCTATATCTGGAACAGATTCAACTACTACTAGTAATAGCAGTGTTGGAAGCTCCGTAACTCCAAACGGCGCAAATCATCAACATCAAAACATCATGTCCCCAGATTGGACTCAAATACAGGAGCAAACTCCACCGCCATCTGCCAACGTGTCGCTCATACACCAAGCGCACATCGTGTCGCCATTATTTGAGGAACACATGTATAGTGCTGATGCCGTAAAGGACTCGCAATCACCGTTTCCCGATCTCGTCGCAGATGCACTCCTTCAGGACTTGCTGCGGCATAGTAATAGGAGTAACAGTAGCAGTAACAGGAGAAATAGTTTATATAACGAGCGGTTTACTGGTAATCCAGCATACTCTGAAAGTAACGACTCGGTACTATCGACGACAGATTTGGAGAGCGTCGATGCTCTAAACGATGTTTACGACGGTATATTTGAGGCCCGGCCGGCCAGTGATACAATATACGATGCCGGCAATGATCCGATACAGCAGCTGTATCCGGATCTTGATATGTATCACGATCCAGTAGAAGACGAATTCGACTCGTCGTCATCACCACCGTTAACACCGTCTATTGAGACTGTAGAAGCTCCCACCTCACCATCGGATTCCCTGTCTGATGATATAGAACCACTAGTAATGGAGTTTGACGAGAGTGATATTATAGAAGGTCGACGGGCTATATACCATTCAGCTTTGAATCCGTTAGGAACGCCTTACAAGGCTGCCAACGCACGCAGGTTGCTGTTTCATGGTCCGCCATCTCCTGAAACCCAGACGTCAGCATCGGCCAGTAATCGTCGAACATGGTCCAACGAATTCCGAATGGCGAGAGTCTTGCAGAGTAGTTTTGCTCTTGAACAAGGTATCGCACCGAATCCTTTTCATATTTCATAGCTTTTCTGATTGATTATTCTCATAGGTGTCGCTGAACTCGAACAGGAAATATCCGCAATGTCGAATCAAATCGATGCTCTCAAACTACGGCAGCATACTGAACCCGTTGTCATTGGCACCCAATCTCTGACCCCTAGCATAATACCCACCACTAGCACGAATGACACCAACAATAGCATAAATCAGCACCCTTCTCGTGAAAAAATCAAGGCCTTATTACGAGGGCAACTGCAACGAGTGTTGATATCTGGATTGGATATATCGCGTGGATTTAATGAACATTCTGAATCTGGGTTGTCGTCTTTGGAATGTCGGGCATTCGATGATGTGGTGCAGTCGCATATTGCGACTGTTGGACTCTGTCTGAAACTGTTTGATAAAATGTAGTTAATCTGGGGTTTACTGTAACGTTAAATATAGTGATTAATATTGGGTTTTGGAATTATCACGACGTTTGATATCAGGGGACAAAGAACGGTGTCCGTCCTCGTTATCGCCTTTATTTAACAAAGTGTAATAAGGGACTCATCAAAGCACTGAGACGGAATTGTAGACACAATTCATCAGTTTATATTCTCTACCAAACACATCAACACTCAACTATAACTTAGCATCAGCCCCGGCACTTTCCGCCATCCTCGATGGCGTCATCTTCTTCAAACTCCCCATCTGCCTCGCAATGCAAAGCAACCTCCCCGTCGAATCCCACACGTTTGACGTACTGTACACAATCCCCTCATCCACCATCGTATCCGGCACCGTCGCAATCAGATCCGGTCGAGCACAGTCAGAAGATGGCCGTGCGAAGAAGTTTAGATTTAGCATTACCGTTGAATCTAGGTGTTACCGGTGTTAGAGATACGTGTCTGTCAGAGTGATCTCTGAGAAGGCTTACAAGCAAACGAAGATCCAGAAAGCATACGGATCTCAGTAAAGAATCGCAGGTTGCGTACAGCATCGGCAAAGAATGCGACACTGGTGAGATCTTGTGGTCGTTTGTCGACGAAACTCTGCCACATGGGCTGTAGGTCGAGAGAGTCCATGTCTTTTGTTTTGAGGGCTTGGCGCATGGCGGTGCGGATTGTTGGTGGGCTTACTATATAAAGAATACGTGAAATGAGAAGGTCCTTCCAACATTACATCTTGGCAACGTACCCATACGAACATGCTCATCCATATGCGAATCTCGATCCTTCTTATCCTGATACGTAGTCTTGCTGCCCGGTGGAAGGAATAAATCATTCCACGACAATCCCTCATCCTCGTTAAACATCTTTGGCATCTTGGGAAGCCCAAAACTACCCGGTAAATCCCGTTTCGTCAAGTCTCCATACGAAGCCTGGATTTCGAATATCGGCGATGCTGTCAATGAGTCTGTTATAGCGACCTTGATGTAGGCTAGTGACCGTCCACGTTTGAGAACGTGAGTTTTGATCTTGACTAGCTGTCCGACTTTAGTTTGGGCCATGTATTGTGCCTGGATTGTGTATGCGTCTGGGTATGAGGGAGCGAGGACTGTTTCTGAGGCTCGCATTGCGAGACTGTTTTTGTAAAGAGAATAATGTGTGGTCAGCTTTTACGAAAGCGTTAAACGTGGGTGTTTGTAGCAGGGCAAACATCCAATGTTTGTTCAATAACAAAACAGCTTTATAGCAATTGTTTGTAACGGGTATTCAACTCGTGACGTCGGTGCAAAGTGGGATGTGGTTGCTCACTCAAATCTCGTGGCGGTGGTTTGATGATGGGCACTTACGCAAGTAGATAACCACCATCTAATGTGGTTTGAGGTTTGAGCGGGTCAATAGATTGCTGGGAATGTTTATATATAATGTACGTACAGCTAGATAGACTTCCATTATTTATCCAAGGCTGATCTATAGTATGCGAAAAAGTGCAAATGTCGTGGTTTTCTCGAGCGACCACTCCCATTCGGAGAGATCGGTCAAAGATGAAGGATGCCATCGTGTAGAGATGCTGAATGACTACCGTCGACTATGGCACAAGTCGCCAATGTCCCTTGAAAGCTCCCTTGAGTCAGGCTTTGTTTGTTGGTCAATGATGTCAGTCTAGGTACGAGCGCATGCAATTAAAAGAACCCGCATAAAAGGAAGGTGTTTTAGGCATGTCGACGACCATGAACGGCATCCAATTATAGACCACTAGAATCTCCATCATAGGGATCTATTCGCAGAGGAGCGAAATCACGTTGGCGTCGAAATCCGCGCACCAACTTTTACACTAGTGTATTCAACCAGTTCCGAAAACGAATCTCAACTTGACAAAAGTAGGGCTGGCACTGAGCCTACTAGGTAAACCACTGTCGATTGAGCATCCTGGGTATTGCAGGCGTCGCATCCGTGGTAGGAAATCCCTTCCATATTGGACAATACTTATGGTTTTGACGAACTCGGGCTAACCAACCAGCAAACTTTGACCGTTATCTTAAAGGCTGGACCAACCCCGAATGATTCCAACTGGGACACTCTCTACTGACATATACGAGCACACTACCCGCTCCAAATATCGCTTCTGTCGCTCCCCATCATAAAACGCTGCCCCAAAAAGAAAACTAGTAAAGCACCATACTCTTCAATGCACCTGCCACCTACCAATTACGCAGGACAACAGCCAAGCTACCACAACGGAATGACTTCTATATACTCGACCAGATCACATAGCATGCCCTCGCCAAACGACCTCAGGCCAATCCAAACTATGCATACTAGCAATACCCCCATGATAACTGCTCTACAACAGCCACAGCACTTAAACCAGTCTCATCCATCGCAATCTCAAAGTAACTTTATCCTGCCTCCCATCCCAAACACTATGCCCCCATGGCAGCCAAACGGTACTAGGTATTTCGGTAGTGCTCAACCACGACAAGAGTCCAATAGTACTACTACGCCACCAAAGAATCACGAGGGTGGTAATACTCATGATTCCGCACCACCGTCTCCTCCTACTCTGCATGAACGTAGAAATTATCCATCGTCAAAACATGGAGCGACAAAGCCAATGTCTTCTCAGCAGGTTCTGGATCAGTTGACTAGTATAAACACGCCGGATTTCGTGCGGAAACTCTTTAGGTATGGTGAAACGACGTTTTGTGAGGGATACTTGGCCCAGAATCGCAACATTGTTGCAACTCCAGCAAAAACCAAAACGTCTCACACTTTCAATGTCTCACACTTTCAATCTCTCATTACAGGATGCTGGAAGAACCAGGAGACTCGAATACAGTAGCGTGGGCTTCAGCAGGCGATGCATTCGTAGTAAAAAACCCTACAGAATTCGCTCGTATAGTACTACCACGGCATTTCAAACACAACAACTTTGCCAGTTTCGTACGCCAGCTCAACAAGTATGGTTTCCATAAAGTCAAACTGTCGGAAGAGAGCAAAGCATTCGGTGAACAGGCTTGGGAGTTCCAGCACCCTGCCTTCCATCGTGAACATTTAGAGTTGCTCGAAGGTATCAAGAGAAAGACAAGTGCTCCTCGTACTGTTAAAGCTGGAAACATGTCCGATGATATGACGATGGACAGAAATAGCAGTAGGCAGGACGACGGTGGTGCTACAGGTAGCGGCAGCATACAGAACGATAGTCCTCGACCTGGTACTCCTTTATCTGGCAAACAACCCAGTTCTATGCAGGCATCGACACCACCGCCCGCACCACCACAACAACAGTATAGCATACCACCGCCCAAAGATAGTCGTAGTGGGCCACTGCAACCACCAGTGTATATGCATTCACATATGATGAGACCTCATCTGCCACAGCCAATACCAACCAGTAGTACTAGTAATAATAGTAGTGTTACATCACAGCCTCTTCCACCACCATTATATACACCAGTTGGATTACAGCTTCAGCAACCTACCGGTCCGTCTCCATCACCAGTCTTACAACAGCAACTGCCGATACTAGCACATAATGGATACCATAGCTATTATATTCAACAGCCACTACCACAGATGCAGCCTGTAGCGCCACCGATACTGCAATCGCATGTGCAGCAGTCATCTCAACAGCTCTCACCACCAAATTCTCATGACGGTGATGTCAAGAATCCATCACCACAAATGCAGCAGCAGCCAGTAATGCTTCCACGTCCATCCCAAGAAGCCGTAATATCAGACCTGAAAATACAGCTGGATCGTGTTACGCGGCTACAATCTGATATGGCTACATATCTAAACCAAATGGGACGCAACTGTGCTTCTATATCAGACGAGGTCGTAAGGCTGCGACAAACTGTCGCGTCTCAGGATGCCACCATACAGGAACTGCTCAAACACAATGGTGGCATTGGTGGTGGTGGTAGTAGTTCATCGCCACATATGTCATCACCACATATGGGGACTCAGGACGTAGGCAATTGGAGAGCTGCGACTAGTAGTAGTGCTGGTGGTAGCGGCCACCGTGGTAACCAGGTCAATGGCAACGCTGTAGGACCAAGTGCGCCAGGAACACCAGTCTTATCACCTAAATCAACCGGCCAGACGGTCCCTACTCCTGTCGCTGGCTCCACTAACGGCAATCCCATGGCTACCTCATCTCAACAACCATACAACCAACCCCAAATGTACCAGGAACCATACACAGCAACACCATACTGGAATGCTAAATCCACCTCTGTGTCCGTATCACCCAACGTGAAAACAGCTCAGCAGGCCACACCCAGTTTACTTCAACAACCACAACCACAGCCAGGCGCATACCCGAGCTTTATCCCACCAGACATGCAGGAAGATAACGAGGATATGGCTCCGACTTCCTCGTCGTCTAATCATGCCATAGCGCTACGGCCCCGCTCGCCGAGCCCAAGTGTGTCGGAGATTATGAGAGAGTTTATACTCAGTCCTGCTCATAAGGCAGATGAGGATAGTGATGATGAGGATGGTGATGGGACGTTGGTGGTTAGTAAGGAGAGTTTGAGGCAGCAGCAGCGCAAGAATGAATGGTAAGATCGCATGCATTTATATTCAGTTAAATGCATTTTTTGACTTGTTTGTAAAAACACCAACACTCGTTTTATGTTATATAGGAAGAAAATGCTCTCAGTCCTCCTCGTCGAAGACGACAAAATCATGCGCGAACTCTACGCAAAACAACTCTCCATGGCTGGATACACATTCGACGTTGCTGTCGACGGCCTCAACGCTGTCGAAATCATGACTTCAAACACATCAAGGGGACTGAAAAAGAAGAAATACGATATCGTGCTTATGGATATCATTATGCCGCGTCTTGACGGTGTGGGAGCGACTACCCAGATCCGACAGTTTGATCCATGGACGCCCATTATATCCATGACGAGCAGCACGACGGATAATGATGTGATTCGGTACTTTTCGCATGGCATGAATGATGTGCTGCCAAAGCCCTTTACGAGGGATATGCTGAGTCAGATGATTGATAAGTGAGTGTTGTGCACGTCGCGGCTTGTAATGTTTGCTTTTTTTTGGTCGCTAACGCATTGTACATAGATGGGCATCATCCAACATTGGCTCCACAATCCTGATGCAGCCCTCCTCAGCCGGCAATCTCGGCACGCGGATTGAAGAACTAGACGAAACCGACGAACTCGATAATCCGTCACCATCATCACAACAATCAAAGACCGAGAAATCCGTCGTAGCGTCATCATCACCATCGAACAAACGAACCATCATCCTGCCCGATCTAATGATGAACTACCTCCCAACCAGCACCAGTAGCTCATCCGTACTCCCACGCCACCTACAAGCAACCCCCGACACAACACCCACATTTGGCTCGTCGTTGCCGGGCGATATACTGGATCGGGATGTAGATGGGTGGAATAGTTTCCAGCCGGTTGTTACGAGTGTAGTGGCTGAGAAGGGGAAGGGCGGGTATGGTGGTCTGCCGAGTCCTGAGACGTTTATGAGCGATGAGGGGGATAGTGATGATGGTGTCGAGGGGAAGAGGAAGAGGAGGGAGGATGTGGCGGTTGTAGAGAAGGAGGAGCGAGGTGGTGGGGTGAGGAGGGGGAAGAGGCTGAGAGCTGGGTAGATGTTGATAGTTTAGAGTTATGGTTTTAGGGTGATGGTATTTTTTATTAACAATGCATTTTTTTGATTTAAGAAACATGATGAGATTTGTAACTTTTGTTCATTATATTCTTTTTTGTTGGGATTTTCCTCTCTGATAACTATTTCAATGTTCAGTTTCGAATGTTTGAAACAAGATGAAGAAAATGCACCTAGTCGAGTCCGACTACACGTCGCAAAGCTGAGACAAAAACCAACACGATGCAGATTTCTAAGCTAATTATCCCTCTTGTCGGGGCTCGTTTATATTGTTATTTGCATCTCAAAATACAAAAGACTTCTATAATAAGGTTGATGATGATGATGATGTGATGCATTTGCTATACTTGTTTTGTTTATTGTGCTCGGGATTTGATGGGGGAAAAGGTATCAGTTGATTGATTGTTTTTTATGCTGATTTTGGATGGTTTTTTGGTCGCTTGCTGATGATGTGCGCTTTTTTATGATGGTGGAGGAGCAGCAGTGTCGTCATGTTTTAATCCGTTAGCTTTTAGTTGGGCGCCTGGATATGTTAGCCATTCTTGTTTTGGGTAGCCTTCCACCTGTGTGATGAAAAAGAGAGGAGGTATGTGAGAAGAGTTGCATACGGGGACCGATGATACGCTTTTTTTCACTTCAAGTTTCCATCTTCAACATCAGCAAAAGAACAGACTGTGTCGGCACCAAATAAGAAATCGCCCATCTACAGACTAACATCAACTTACAGTGCCATCAGTCCACGGCCCCTTATCCGCATTTGTACACCCATTAACATCCGCACACGTACAACTACCCCCTAAGAAATCCGGCAAATTATCCTTCTCAATAGCCTTCAACAGCTCTTCCTGATAACTAGCTCCCAATATCGATATCTTGTTGACTGTAACTTCATCCAGCATTGGTTTCACGAGCGCCCATACACCAGTAAACAAGAAGGGAGCATTAACGATAAACATGCGTCCCAGCATTTCTGGGTAATAGTTTTGTGAGATTGTTGATACTTGTTGGACTAGTGTGTAGACGGATTTGAAAGAGGAGAGACCGACGCCTTTTAGATCGAGGATTGTGCAGGATTGTTCGAGATGGCGGCCGGCTTTGATGGAGCAGGCTTGCAGACGGAAGTTGATTAGTTTTTCGTATTCGTAGACGTGGTTGCGAATCATGCGGTCTGGTGTTGTGACCTATGGTGAGAGTGAGTGGTTTTTTTTGTTATTTGGTGAAGGATTGTTGTGACTGCATCATGTAGCAAAAACAAGAGCAAAGTGCGGGCTTGTATCAGTGACTGTTCATCAAGGTAACTCGTTCAACCATAGCGGTGATGATGATGCACTCACAGCAAAACCATCAACCAATGAATGTAATTACGACACGAGAGTTGAACCACCACCATCCACGTAGTTCTATACAATTTTTTCTCCTCTCCATCCATTCGTTTTTAGCTTACCTGCCAAAGTTTTGTGAGGTCGCACTTTTCGAATCGTTCAATATATATAGGTCGACCCATCTTGTCAGCCTTGTGATAGAATCGTGGGTAGATTGCTCGTACCTAATATTGGGGGAAAAGCGTTGGTTTGAAGAGTAGAGAAAGAACAAACTACGGCGTTCGAAATGATCGAGGATGAATATAAGTCGAATGAAGTCTGTCATCTCTTCACCACCACCTTCAATAATCCCCACTCATCCCTCTTGTACATCCACTAAAACATACCTCAGCAGCCTCAGGAAAATCAAATGTCTTCATCAACTCTTCAATGCCAAACTCCTTTCTCCACTTTTCACAATCCAACCACATCTTTCTGGCATTATCGAGATTGAACTTTCGTGCACGTAGAAACCGTAAGAGTAGGTGATCGCTATGTTTTGCAGGGTCGTATGCACCGATAGCAGATAGTTTAGATTTGAATTCAGCGAGGGCGGTTTCTTGTTCAGGGGTGAGGTTTCCTACACGGCCTGTTTGGGCTGCGAGCATTGCTGCAGAGAGTGGTGGTTCGGTGCCCATTGTTTTATATGTGTGTGTGGGGCGTGGTAATGTTGTTATGATGAGAGCAAAAAAGTTACTCTTTCTCAGTGGTGATGTCTGGATGTAGCTCCTATAATTTCAAATGCGTAATTAATATATGCGATCTTGTATGACAGACGATAGTAGAGGTTCCAGCTTTGATGCTTTTCAATTGGGCATGAATCGATCGTGCATGTCCCTCTATGCGACTTGTCCAAGTCATGACTACACGACCGATCGACTGTCTACGATGGACTCTTCTAGTATCTAACTCTTCTCTCTATGCTCTTCTCCCACCTGACACTACCAGTAGATTGACTCGGAGCTTCAAATATATGGTTGTGTGTGTGGCTTACCGTCTAGTTGCAAGTCGAGTGGACGATACTAGATGGTGCATGATGTGATTAGTATTTTGCAGGATCTGATGACCGTCTTGTCTCGTTTAAGAGAGACACATCAAGACACTTCCACCATATGTTTGATGTTCCGCCATTTGAAGTATTTTTGCAAGTGGCGTGTTGTGAATAAGAGCATGAATATCCAGATGGAGTAAAAAGAAGATCTTTGATATCGAAGACTTGGTCTGTCTCTCGTCTACACCCTCTTAGCTCTTTAATATTGACGCGCCGACAACCCACCAACACGACGATTGTGAAATTTTGAGTAGAAGAGAGATAAACAGCTTCTGAGCTGTGAAAATAGCAGTGCGTATGTGTGCTTCACTTACCTCCTGTTCTATTGGTTGTTTGGCCTTTCAAGTAGGTTGCGTGGCGGAATTATGAAAATGGGCAGAGTGAGGACATGCTGCAGATACATCTAATCAAGTAATGGCAAAGACGTGTTTCCCATGTATATATTATGAGATCTGATACTATTTATTCATTCTAGTGTACACAATCCATCAAACAATGTTCCAGATCAAGATCTCAAGCACCGTCACAATGGTCATTCATCATCGATCACAAAGTATTGTCGTAGATCTCTGTCTCATATCATACATATATACATCTACTCCTTACAACGAGGGTTTCCATCATCCACCCAACTGCCCCATCATCACCTTGCCCAAACAACTACGCGAATCTGATAACACTACGACCCAAACAAACCCCCACTTGTTCTCACAACGATACCCCCATTGGGGTCCTAACGATCGACGAATCGGTCCCTAGCATATATACCACCCTTGTCTGAACATATAAATCCCCGATACAAATCCAACAACCCAATCGGGTCTCTACATCGCAGCTCTGGTTTGCTCGGTACATTTTTTTCGTCGTCGTTGTCGTATCAAACGTTTTCTCCCTTCCTGCATTACTGTCGCTGCATGTCTGAACTCTTATACTAGATCACTCAGACTAGTAGTGTGAGAGTGCAGTCGGAACTGTAGGAACTGATCCGCTCAAGTGAGCTTCGCGGCAACAATCTTATTTGTTTGTGTGCAGAGCAAGCAAATTTCAGTCTAGCTATACCATCCTCCCACATAACTCACACAAACGGACCATCCTTTGATCTAATATGGCATCTCTCCAGCCACGTCAGAGCTCAAATGCTCGCATGCCTTCAGTGTCGCCATCATTCAGACAGAACGATAGTGGCCCAAGAGCTTCTACATCTAGACGGCACACTGCAACAAGAGACTCGGAAGTTGCTCCTACCCAAACTGTGGGCGAATCCTTCGCGGATTCGTATGAAGGTGGTGATGAGTTTCTCGTGGATGCGTCCGTGTTGAAGCAGGCAAAGAATGTCTTGTTTAATGTGCTGTTTTTCACGGTATGTGGTTTGTTGGTTAGGATGAGTTTGGGGCCTGGGTTGAAGACTGGACGATTTGGCACGGAGATCTTGAACTTCTCGCCTATGCTTTTAGGTTTATGGCAATGAGTCGGCGCTGATTCCTGGAGTTATTGCTATCCTGATTGAAGGTAACTAGTAGATACTATCTCTGCGCCTTTTTTTTCACTGATCACAAAACTGCAACGTCTCCATTGCTGCATGAGTGTTTACATTCTCTTTGCACTTGTTTAGATTTACAAATTCCTGTCTTTTACCTGTGCTCGAGACTGTCTGCTGCTTACTACAGTATGATCCTCCCTTGTGCATCGTGCTTTTTTGCTTGTTTTCTAAAATTGTTGTTCCCTAGTTCCCTCGATAATCGGAAGCTCACTCGAAACTCGATATGAAGACTATTCGATTAACACTTTTACGGTAAAATGGCTTGTGCTGAAAAGCAGCACGTTTTGTGGACTCAAAAAGAAAACACTTTTGGTATGCCTCAACATGCGATACTCATACACCACCCACACCAACAAATTAGACATTCTTCGGAATCGCTGCTGGTCTGGTATTCCTGATGGCACTCAACATTGTCTTTGTGGCCTGGGGCTTTGTTCGAGGTAATTAAACGAAAACACATATTCGTTGAAACAAAAAACAATCGTGTGCCTGTCTATATTACCCAACCTGGCACTTTCTCTCGCCTGACCTTACTTTACACACCACAGGCCAACACAAATACGTATGGCCCATAAATACCCTCCGAGTCCTCGGCACATTCGTACCAACAGTACTATTCATCCCCATCCTCGACATCTTGACAACAACCTTTCAATGCACAACCATATCAACCGACACAACCACATTCGGCGGCTTGGCATGCTCAAGCGGGACGAGAATCCCGTATATGGTCGTGTCAGCTGTCACGATCGCGACCTTCGTGCCCTGTACGTTTTTGATTAATTTGCTGTTTCTGGATTCGGATCCGGCCAAGAAGGGACCGAATTCGAAGGCGCATGGACGTGGGTGAGTGGTTTTGTAAAACCGTTGAAATGTGGTTATTTGGTACTGTTGATAAATATTGATTTTTTTGTGGTGTTGTATGAATGGTATTCTCATCTTCCTACGTTTTGTAAGCGAGATGATTTATGCAATCCTGAAAACCGTACTCAGTTTCGTATGGAAGATTCCGCAAGACTATACCAGTAAGTTACAGCAAAAGCGAGAAAGAGACAAAACCTCGCCTCGAACCACCCAAAACATATGACGAAGGTCCTACTTATGACTTGTCAACATCTTCATCTCACACCACCACTTTCCATACACTAGTGCTACTCAAAGTCGGCATAGTCCTTGCTGTTTCCGTCATCATGATGATTACCCAAGTCTATTTCTACCCATACTACAATCCGAAAATCAACCACCTGCGAACAGCAACCTATTTCGCATCAAGTGTTATTGGAGTCGTGTCAATGTTAACTACTGTGGTTGCTTATTATCTCGGATATGCACAGGGGCCCGAAGCTTATATTATTATCATTGCTGGGTTTGTGCCTGCTTGGATTGCTGGATTTGTTGGATCTGGTAAGTTAAGATTCATCGGAAATCGTCACTGTCGACAATGAAGTCGTCCTCTCCTTTGCGTTTACTTCCGTTTTGTTGCTCTCCTCTCAACTAAAGTTCAATCCAAATTAGGCTGGATTCTCGCATATATCCAAAAATCAACCCTCCACCGCCTCGACGATGAAATGCGCGGCGGCTCTGACGGTAAACCAGTCTTCCTCATCTACCCACACGTGGAACTAGTCGCACGTACCGCCACAACTAAATTGAATGAGCGAAATCGAATTCCAACCTTTGAGCAACTCGAGTTTGCTGTTAGAATTTTCAAACATGGACAGCGCGAGTTCCCGCATGAACCGTTTGTGCGGTTGCAGTGGGCTACGTATCTTCTTTATTTAGGGGCGTCCAAGATGGAGGCGAATAAGCATTTGAGGAAGTGTGAAGAGGTGAGTTTGAGGTTGTGTATGATTTGGAAGCTGTTATCCATGAAGAGAGCACTTTAGAATGAAGATGCAGTGGTTTTGATGCTTGTATTTTGTGAGGAAACGGAGGATGTAAAACGATGACAGAAAAAGCAAGAGCAAATGTCTTTCAAACGCAATGCACATTCCCATCTCACACCACACATTCCAACGCATTCCCATATATAGATGCATCCAGCATTCGACGGCCAATTCCAATGCCACTTTATGACCCAAATGAACAATCAAAACCGTGAAGCTACCTTCCTTGGTGACGGCATCCATCTCGATGTAGCCAGTTTCGCCGAATTCCGGAAACTCGACAAGACTGCTAAAGTCAACCACCAGCTCGCGCTGCAATGGCAACGTGTGCTTTGGCAATCCGTTAATTCAGCTACCGTCAAACTTGATGAGTTGGAAGCTGTTGCATCGGAATTGTATGCAAGGTCTGAGGATGCTGATGCTGCATATGCACAATTGGTGTCGAGGTTTCCAAAGAGCAAAGTTTTGTTAAGGTTCTATGCCAAGTTTGTGAGTATCTGCTACGTGATGATACTTTTTGTCTCTGAGTACCAAACAACAAAAGAACTGGGCGATCTTTATGGATGATGTTTGCTGACACTTCAACTCTCATTTATATAGTGCTTGGACGTAACCAACGAAAACGCCAAAGCATCCGCCCTCCTAACACGCGCCGACACCCTCGAAGAAGAAGAATCCCCCAACGAAGACCAAGGACCCAACGACTTCAACGAATCAGACTCTGACTGGAACAACTCGTCAAACGATGGCAGCAACAAATCACACCGAATGTCCAAAGACTCGCTACAACTAGTACAATCATCATCACAAGACACTTCTCCAAAACCGGTCCGAGCATTACCCAAACTACAAGAAGGATCCACAAATGGGTCACCTGCTAATTCAGGACCTACATCACCGGTCGTTGCACGTGCGCCAAAGGCAATCAAGATTGATACAGAGCATAGAGGGTCGATTAGTAGTGGTGGGTCGAGGAGTTCGAATCACGAACAGAAGCAGTTGCAGTATAATCAGCAGTTGAGGGCGGCGTTGTTGCAACGGAATGTTTCTGATATCCGAATAATCACATTCGCTGCTTGGTTAATTGGTAAGAGCCATAAAAGTCATTGGCGGTGTGTTTTTGGTCATGTCGACTGACACATACTTCTATTTTTTTAAGGAATCGTCTCAATCTGCATCCTCATTGCATCATTCGTAATCATCACCCAAAACCAGCTTTCCGGAAACGGATTGAACTACTTGGATTGGCTGCACAATCGGGAAAAGAATACCGCTTTGTCATATCGCCGCGCTAGACAATTGCAAAATGCGTATACGAGTAATGATCCAGTCAAGTTTGCCGCTATACAGACGCAGTATTATAGCGAGATGTTATCGTTTCAGAGTGCTAGTGAGAGTCTTTTCGCTGGTGCTGATATGACTAACGGTATGTGTGATTGATGGTTTGACTGAAGTTGTCTGGATTTGTTTGGCCGGTTTACGCAAGGTCTTGAAAAAAAAGTCTTTTCTGATACAAACCTCTCTTGTCTCCCAAAACAGATCAAACGTACTTGTATTATGATACTCCATATGTAAGATCACCAGCACGTTTGATTTCGTTTAATTTAGCCAGAGCCAAACAACAAAGCCGATTACTCTACGTCAGTACGACACCAAATTCATGACGCATTTTTCGATTTTCCTTCTTTCACCAGGTCCCAGTCTTGGTGTCATTCTACCCATCAATTACCCAACGCCAAGTAGTAAACCGCACCCTCTTCCAAGTCACGCAAGGATTTGCATCTGCTGGATTGCATCTTGCGTCCTTGGCATTCAGTGATTTTGCAAATATCACGTATAACAATCAGTTTAGGTTTATTGCGGATAACTTTTGGATTATTCAGCCTACTGCGTGTAAGTTTCGAGAACTATAGCTTCATTGGAGAGTTCTTTATTTGCTTACGTATTTTACCCGTTCCTTCTAGATGATTTCTGTAAGATTTTGTTATTGGTCCTTTTCTAATGGTTTGGGACAACGATTTCAGGTTTTGACATTCTGCCTTTCAACTTTTAGCGATGAACACGATTTACTTTGATATCCAAGACAGTGTAAGTATGGGCAAACCACATAAAAAACGCACAAAATTTGTCTCAAGTCGTGTATTCAAACGAGAAATGTTTTTAACTAACAATCGCATCCCATAAAACCTTAGATCGTCTCAAACGCAACAACCCTCACCATAACGCTAACCGTAATCCTCATCGTAACTGTCTGTCTCGCACTCCTAATCCTCGATCGTCGTGTACAGGCCTTCCGCAACAAGCAACGCCAAACCCTCGACGTGTTTAAAAAAGTGCCCAAACATTCTGCTTCTGATGTCATTGCACGATTAGAAGAAGCACAATCTGAAGATGTGTTTGGAAGGGATACGTTAAGTTTCAAGGCGAGGACTGCGCTGGAGATGCAGATGAGGAATGGAAGTCGGGCTAAAGCGATGATGAGGATGCAGTATATTGCGTATGGGATTACGCTTACGGCGCTGGTTGCTGTCAGTGCGAGTACGAATGTGAGTTTGTGGCATTTTGGAATTATGCTCGTGTCTCTTTTTCTTCTTCTTTGTTTTACTCAGCACATTTTTTTCTTGTTTCTAGTTGAGTGGTATTGTGAGTTACATGTTATTCTATCGAGGTACCAAGCTATCGCACTTTATTTTCTCAATCTTTTTTTCTTCTTCTTGAATAGTATCAAGTAGGTCAGCTTTTCGCTATTCGTGATCAGTAAGAAATTTGTAAAAGCGCTGTATCATCCCTATTGTAAGATGTCTAATCGTGAGTCTTTCCTTTGTCTTAGATTTGGTGATATGGCTACATTCCCTACTCGAGTAAGCTGGACACGAAGGTCAAAGAACTCGATGAAGATGATATCATGTTTTACTGACTTTTGTCCTTTGCAAACTAGTCTGTTTCGCTCATTAACGATCTGGTTAATGTTGATACTTTGGTATGTATGCCTGGAAACGGAATGGGATAGCATCACTAATAACAACCTGCTGTGGGTTTTTTTGCGTCTTGGTTCTGACCGTTATTTGTTTGTAGACTTGGGGAAACAGAAGCAACCTTCTGGACGCTTTGGCTTCGTCGTGGTATGAGGAGCTGGCGCTAGGACTTGTTTCTACCAGTACGTGTGTACCGTGGTTTGGAGACCCTGTACAGATTAGGAAACCCAAGGAGAACGACCATCTAGGAATTGCTCTTCTAACATCGATCCCCCAATTACAATAGCCCTGGTATACGGAGATGAAACACGCTACCCACCTTCCCCAAGCTACGACAAATACCCGCCTGCACTATTACAATATTTCGATGGACACATATGTCTGCCAACGGACCAGTCTGTGTGTGTGAATCAAGTGTATAACTCGTCTATTGGGTTCACGCCTGATACCGTTGGGTTGGGGCTGCTGCATCTTACGGAACAGCTTGTCGGGCTTATCTTTAGTAAGTCTTTTGTTGGGTGTGGCTCTCCTTCTTTTGCTGCTTCCATCTAACGAGCTATATATAACATTACAACAGATTGTGCATCAGCAGCTCTTGATGGTGACTTCCATCCACAGCCCGACCTAATTGCATTTATGGAAGCTATCTTTGAGCCTTATTATTTGCAAGGGTTGTCTAGATGTGAACAGGAAGCTATGCTGGAGGGGAATACGATATTGGCTGCTTCAACTGTCAGGTAATTGTGGAAATCGTGCTTGACAAGTATTGTTGCAGCTTCGACAATCAAACATTACAAATCAATCTTTGTTTTGGTGGCTTGGTTCTCATGTCTCTTTTTTCAAAACATAGGAATCTTGCCATTTTCATTGCAGAATTGGCCGTCGTCTGTATTGGAGAATTCTTTGTGTTTTGGCGTATGGTGGTCCATCTCAGGTAAAAAAAAACCTGTTCGATTTGTCAATAAGTGTGTTGCTTCAGTATTCACTGTATCTGACTCTCCTCTGTTGCTTTTGACAAACAACCAGATTCATGGAGCACTGTATAGTAGACATGATTGTCCGCCTCCCGCTCTCAGTTCGCAACCTCCCTGACATTGCCGACTGGATTTCCAACATGCAAGGCCGTCAAGATCGTATTATAAAAGCCAACAAGGACAACGATGATTCCAAAGACCAAAACAAGACTTTTTGGACCCGCCTGATCCTTCCCTTCGGACTCAGAAAGTCAGTATCCGAAATATTCCCCAAATCCACCAAATCGAGCAACAGCAAGAAGGTCGAAATAGCGAATTCCAAGCAAGCCAATATCGACAAGGCTAATGGAGTCAAGATACCGACTATACAAGCTACGGCAGAGATTGAGGGTGATGATGGCAATATTGTTATACAGACGGCGTCCGAGTCGTCGTTAAGGAAGAGACAGTTGTCGTTCAATGGAGTTTGAGTTGAGAAGGAGAATACTTTCGAGTTTACATTTATGTACCAATTTGTTTCGGTATCTTATATACTAGCTGGAAGGCAAGCAAAAGTCTCTGTGCCACAGTGTGTTTATGAAGGTTATGGTTTGATTAGAAATTTTCATTGCCAACTGTGATGATGCTTCAAGATGGGACTGGATACTTTGTGTTGGAGATGCATCAGCTCCTTCAAACACACTTGGTGAATCGAATGGTGTCGCGCAAGTTGGATGATTTTGTGAAAGCCATTTGAGCATTCAACAAAGTCGAGATCAAGAACACACGACATCTCGATACTGACAAATTATTGAATGGTTGCAACCTGTGAGCAATGTGTCTTATTTCATGCACCTGCCCATTGAATTCCACCAAAACCTTATGTTGGTACCAACGCGCCATAGGTCACGTGTTTTTCACTATTTGAACTAGTAGCTTGCTAAGTTACCAAGAACTCCAACAGGACATCCCAGTCACTACATGGAAGACGCTTCGCACTTGCTCGAACGTCATTGGCGAAAATAAGCTCCAGCCCGCGGCGATGGCAAGCAACACCAAGAAAACATCTTCTTTCCTGACCAGCAAAAATCTCTTATCTATATTGGCGCTGATCTCGCCCACTCCAAACTTTACCGTGGACCTCTTAGAACCAAGGATGGTATCAAGAAGGAGCTCGAATGCTCGTATGCCGTCCATCTATATGGCCAGAGCAAATGATGCCGCTATAGCAGCACAAATCCGTGACTCTGTTGCAAGACCTTCTAGATCACGACAACATACCATCACTCGAGAGTCTAAAAGTGCTCCTCAAACTCTTGGTGAATCGTTTGCGCATTCGTGTGAAGGTGATGACGAGTTTCTAGTAGATGATTCGTATTTGAAGAATGTTTTATAAACTGTGTTGTTTTTTACGGTGAGATGATGGAAGGGTTTTGGTGTTATTACAACACATCGCCGTCAGTGGTGTCATCGATTGAAGCATCCACATTGCTACGGAGAGACGTTCCACTCATTTACGTATGTTTTGTTTTTTCGGTAGATGTATGGCAATGAATCCGCGTTTATTCCTGGAGTTATTGCTATTGTAATCGAAGGTAATATGAAAGGACTGCTGGTGGACTATTTTGTGGAGTCATCTCCAAATTCCTCCTAACGCATACGTTCTCACTTGTGTTTTCTTGTTTAAAAACGATCTTAGATTTACAAATTCCCGGTTTACCTGTGCTCGAGATTGTCTGTTGCCTATTACTGTAAAACGAGATATCGACACACCTGGTTTTGGCAGTCTCTAACAAGCATCGTCTCGCTTGTTCCCTCTACAATCGGAAATGAACTAGAAACTCGATATGAAGAATACTCAAACATTTACGGTAATTTGGATTTGTGTATGGTTCAAGCATAATTTACTCCGATTAACAATCGAATCGTGTTAAATCTGTTTTGGGGTTGCTGCAGACGTCGTGTTTTTTATGGATCTCAACATTTTCTTTGTTGCATTGGGTTTTGTGAGGGGCAAGAATGTTCTATACACAAGACGCATGATAAGTGGCTCACCTTCGCACTCTCTGAACCACTTTACGCCTTTTCACAACAGGACAACACAAATACCTATGGCCCATAAACACACTCCGAGTACTCGGCACCTTTGTCCCCACAGTCCTCTTTATCTCCATTATCTCCATCTTCGACATTTCGACTAGAGCATTCCAATGTATATGCGACCAACATCTGTGTTCTAACACTTTGATGTCCCTGACCGTCGACTTGACAACCGCACGTTTTGGTCGAATCACGACGTTTTTGCATCTACCTACGCGTCTGATAATATGAATAATGAAAAACCATGCTTACTTTTGCGTGTTGGTATATGCGTTGTCGAACTTGACTGGGTGTTTGAGTTTACCCTCAAATTTTCACAGACACCAAACACCCTTTCCCACGACAAACAAGAGACGACATTCTTTGGAATTAGTAGGAAATAATAATATTATAGTGAATCTGGTAGTGCTGCTACAATGCCCTTTCGCCCAGTGGTAAAGAATCCAAAGCCCGACGGGCACAAGTCTGAAACAAACGGTGAGTGGTGTGAGTTGGCAGTTCAGGCTATACAACCGAGTGATTCGAGACACTATATGCTAATTGCATCGCTCTATTCGCGTGTAGGATCTGCTAAATCCAACACCCGCCAGTTTACTTGGAGCGAGATTGAGGCAACATCCACAATCAAGAGGAAACAAAATGGGAATGCACCAACATACATTGTCATAAACGACAAGGTATACGATGTAGGAGGCGATTTCGTCAAGTGGCATCCGGGTGGAAATGTCGTCCTGTCCCAAGCTGGAATGGATGCTACTGGTAAGACGAAGGACGATTACCATCTTGGGCTGTCATTATGTGTCAAATCTTGGAAGTGTTATCGCCATAACTTATACCACATTGCAACCAGGTGCATTCGATGTATTTCATCAAGAAGCCACTCATGAAATCATGGCAAACTTTTATGTCGGTGATCTGGCCCCCGGTCAAGTTCGAAAGCAGTCCGGTAATTTCTATTTTGGATTGTTTTGAGAAACTAGATCGAGCAAAGCCTCGCGAAAGACCAAGAAGCACAACTTTAAGTGCTCTATTGCTTTGGTGAACTGAGTACTAACTCGCTATCTCATATCACAGACTTCTTCAATGACGTGACACGTCTTCGCCAAGAATTTGAGGCTAAAGGATACTATGAATCATCAAAGCTATACTATCTCTTCAAGCTGTTGTTCAATCAGTCAATGTGGGCAATCTCAATCGCAATCATGATCAGATTCCCTACAAACTTGTTTGCTGTATTCGTGTCTGGTCTGATCATGGCACTGTTCTTCCAACAAAGCGGTATGTACTGCTTGTTAAGTATCAGTAGACAGGGCTTGCCATGTTACGAAGGGGTCTTCTCTTGACGACGAACCACTGTCTTGACTCGATATGACCTCTTGCGATTGACGACCTTTTCTTTCACTTTGATAGGATGGCTATCTCATGACTTTTTACACAACCAAGTGTTTAAAAACAGATCATTGAACAAAGCTGTTGGTTACTTTACTGGAAACGTGTGTCAAGGCAAGTTGTTTATGGCTTGGACCAGTATTCCGTGTTGGTCTGCGCCGTTTTTTGCGCTGTGTATTTAGCAAAGCAAGTGCTTACTCAACATACGTACTATACAGGCTTCTCAGTAAGCTGGTGGGTAAACAAACACTCTACCCACCATTCAACACCAAACGTCCACAACGCTGATCCAGACATTGACACAATGCCAATCCTCGCTTGGTCTGAACATGCCCTAGAACTCTTTACCGACGTTGACGATGCAACACTAGCCAAATTCCTAGTTAAATACCAACCATACCTGTACTTCCCAATCCTATCATTCGCTCGTCTATCTTGGTGTCATTCATCAATCAGATATGTAGCAAACAACCCAAACATTGCTAATCGATTCGTGGAAAATGCTACTCTGGCGCTACATTGGATTTGGTATTTAGGGTTTGCTACGAGATATTTGAGTACTTTTGGGGCCTTGCTGTGGTTTGTTACTTCGCAAGGTGGTTGTGGGCTCATGTTGGCTTCTGTCTTTTCGTTAAATCATGTAAGTGTAGCTTCGACTCAAGTCTGAAGGGAGGCCAGAGCTTGGCTTGTGCAGAGTGGAGGGAAAGAGAGAAATTGTGAGGGGTTCTTGCTGAGAGTGGCATACATCTTCTATCCTCAATGTATCTTTTTTTTCTCATTTCACTTTTCTCCCGTTGCAGAATGGTATGCCCGTGTTGGATCAGCAAGAGGCTAGAGAACACGACTTTTACGCATTGCAGGCAATTACCGGACGAGATGTGCTACCTTCTATTGCTGCTGACTTTTTCACTGGTGGTTTGAACTATCAGGTAAAGCGATGAACAGGAGAATGACACAAAATAGCCATCCATATAATCTTTGAATATTTTTTCAAAATCATCTTCATGTCTTTCGGTGTCTCCATATTGACGCTTTCCATCTCTATAGATTGAACATCACATGTTCCCATCGATACCCCGCCACAACTTCCACTTGATTAAAGAACAAACCTTGGCACTCTGCAAGAAACACAATGTACCTTATCATGCTACCACATTCACAAAGGGTACTTTCGAAGTCTTGTCGCGACTAGCGGATATTTCCAAGACTAGTCTTGAGATGAAGAAGCAGAAATAGGTCTTGTTGGTGGTGGATATATAGATGGGGGGAGTTGAGAAGTGTTTTTATGTTCTATGGGGTGGAGTGTCGTAACAGGTGCTCAAGTTGTGAAATGAAGAGTCGAGTGGTGTGGTGTGATTTATCTATATTGTTTTGCAGGGACACAGGGAGCAGGACACCCTTTCTTTTTCGGTTGAGAGTTTTTCTTTGGGACACTCGTATTATACAGCAGGTAATGAGGACGTTACCTTATACCTTATAAAAAAACCTTACTAGATTACAAAGAGAGAGGAACTAATTATAGATGACTATAAAAACCAAACCAAAAAAAAGGATACCAAAGTGCTTTTTAAATACAATTTCTTTCATGCCTCAAAAACAGGAGCTGCGTACTGGAGCTATGAAGCTGCACTTGCTTATCACCTCTCACCCTGCCTCTATGCTGTACATTGTTTCCAGATGATGTTGCAAACAAGCACGCTCGAAAGTTCATGTGATCTTCAAACAAGGTTATATCTATACAATTGAATTGCAGTCAAATTTATGTTGATTCATCTATAGGTGTTTTGACGATTGGACTGAACTCCAAACGTCCATGAGCATCTCGTATGGGGGCAATGAGTCTGCCCCGTTTCTTGTCCTCAACCCAGACGTTTGCACGCTGTAGAATGCGGTTGACTATACCCCCTGCAAACAGTTCAATGTGGAAATCTTCGTTAGATGGATCAAGCAACAAAACAATCATGTGAAAATCCAGATGTATTTACCTAAAGCATCAGGCTCCGTCTGAAAATATGCCAAGATGATTCCCATTGCAGCTGAGAACATGGCCACCTCAAAGTACTTGATCTGTACCATCCATTTCTTCTGGTACAAGACGGTATACAGCGACTCCATTGCTCGAGGGAGGACATACATGGCCAGATTATTTCTCTGCCCTGTGTGTTCAATTTGGACTGACGATGCAGCTAATAGACCAGCCCACCAGTATATGTACTTGCTGTCTGATTTCAGCCAGTTGCGAGCTATGAGCTCTCGTTGTATACATACTATGGCTTGATAGCCGGATACGAATGTAGCCAAGAAGACGCTGCTTCTGAAGGCGTTTGTAAGAGATCGTTGTGACAGCTCCATCGGCCTATTCGAGAAGGGTGTTGGTCAGTTCTAAAGTTGAGCAAAAAAAGCTTGCAAACTTCATCCAGCAATACCTCTTGAAGAAGTCACGCATTCTCAACACAGCCAACGGCACCACATTCAGAGCCAAATACACAGGCAGTATCTTCTTGAGCACCTTCTGGAATACCCAACCCCAATGAAGGACATGCGAGTCCCTCGATGGATGGAATAACTCGCATGGTATAGCTGGTGGCAGAGACGTCATGCTCTTGGCATATTCAACGGCATGACTAGTTCCATGATACTTTGTAGCAGCATTGACGAAGGCCAAAGGGTCGATCGCGACACCTCTAACATTCTGTCTCACCATACCTAATACATCTTCCGGTATCGGCCCCGTACTGACTATAAACGAGTAATACGATTTCGGTATGGTGTGTGGTTGCATGACATATGCGTACATGATGGAAGCCGAAGACAGCATAAATATCAGCGATGAGGCGAATGGGAAGTGAAAGGTTTTACTGAGTCGTAGCGAGTTGAATATAGTTTCACCGGCTCGTACTGCTAATTGTTGGCCCCACATTATTCGACGGTCTTGCTTTTCGGCTAGTAGTGATAGACCTGCTAAACTACCAGCTAAAATAACTGATTTCAGCAGGTGGTGCGATCAAGTAGTCAACCGTGAGCTCACCAATAAATCCATTGAGTTTATCGTCGACTCCTCGGACGAGTCGTAGTGTGTTGTCTACGAGCTTCCATATGAATCCAAATCCTCCTACAACTAGAGCGAAACGGAATGCATCCTCTCCAAATAGAGATGCGCGTAGTGCGTCGACTAGTTTCATGCGTTTTCGTATAACTGATAAGAGTTTCAGGGCGAGATCGACTCCAGCTCGTAGACCATATCCTAATACTAGAGATCTATACAAAGGCAAGAAAAACAAAATGAATTGGGATGTAAGTTGATCAAGCCACTATGGCGGTTTGCGTCAAGCATAAAGCTGAAATTTCCACATATAAATACTATAAATAAGCACAGATCCAAGCTTACCTGAGTCCTACACGACACGCATGAAGCAGAATTGCGTTTGGTTTTTTGAGTATTGGCATTCCATTGGCAGGAAGAGTCGTATCCAGAGAGGTTTCTTCAGCTTTTGGTCCTCTATTGATGCTATTAGACGGAGCCATGGTGTCCTCTCCCTTCTGTCTATACACGTACTGTGAGCTACCCTTTGCCGGCGGAAGTGCAAGTGCAAGTTGCAGTTTTCAAGTGGCGCAATAAGAGAAGAGCTTCTAACGCGTCAAATAATAATTTATGGGTTTACATTATTCTACTATGCTCTACAATACGTGATCTACGCATCAGACCTTCAAGTCTTTGGAAAAATCGGCTTCATCTCTCCTAATCGTCGACCACCCTCCTTCCTACTAAACACCAACTCCTTCCATCTCCTACGTGTCTTCCCAACTCCCATTCCATCTAGCAATGCACCAGACGCGTCAGGTATAACCGGTTGCAAAGCTATTCCGACAAGTCGACATATCTCCAATGAAACATAGACACACGTCTTGAACTCGTTCGAGTTCTGATCCATTTTCCATGGCTCACTGTCTTGCCAGTACTTGTTTCCTTGTACTATTAGACGGGATACGGTCTCGAGGTATTGACCTAGTTGGCCTTTTCGGACTGAATGTGTAACTGCAGCTTTAAAAGTATTTTTTGTGAGGAATGTGAGTGAGGATTTGAGGTCATAGAGCTGTTGTAAGGCAAAGTAAACAGGAGTCTTACTGCCGAATTCTCGTAATTCACGATTGAATGATGGTATGGCAAAAGGATGAGGTAGTTGCGGTACCACTCCATCAGCAATTATACTCGAAGCTGTACATCTCATAGCAAAGTTGCCCAACTGATCAGCCAAGTCATTTACTTTGCGTGTCTTAATCGATTGCATTGAGAATTCTAGAAGGCGAAAAAAATGTAGCGAATGCTGAGTTATGACCCACGACAGATCTCTCAAGATTCATTCCAAGGAAATCTGAATACATACCAGCATCATGATTCATCCCGCCATCACGAATCAAAAAGTATCTAACAGCATCAACTCCAAACTCATCCAACAATTTCACCGGATCCACCACATTTCCACGACTCTTTGACATCTTGAAACGACCCATCAACCAATGTGCATGCACAATGATCTTGTTGGGAGGCGGTAGTCCAGCAGCCATTAGAAAAGCAGGCCAATATATAGCATGGAATTTGATAATGTCTTTGCCAATGATGTGGCATTCTGCGGGCCAATAGTCCTTTTTAGAGACAGATTCCGTCCATGGGTATCCAGTTACAGTGAGGTAGTTGGTAAGTGCGTCTAGCCATACGTAGATGACGTGGTCTGGATCGTTGGGTACAGGGATGCCCCAATCTACTCGTGATTTCAGACGAGATATGGATAGATCAGAGTCTGGTGTTTCTGTTAGGGATTTGATGTGTTCGATGACTTCTTCCCATTTCTGTTGTGGTACGATTGCTAAAGAATGCTTGCAATGGTATGAGACACAAGCCAAAAACGAGACTATAACCAGAGGTGATGAGTACCTGTAGGATTATTCTGCAACCACTCCAACAACTGATTACGCATACTCCCCAACTTGAACTTGTAATTCTCTTCTCGAGTCCATTCTACACGTTGTCCTGAATCTCGTGCAATCTTGACCACACTTCCATCAGGTTGCGTTTCGTCCGCGACTTGAGATGGTGGATAGAATGTCTCGTCCGATATCGAGTACCATCCTTCGTGGTGTCCTTTGTATATGAATCCAGCATCGCATAAACGAGTCTGTTACGTAGTTACGTGTTAGAGTGGATGCAAAAGAGGCCATGAATGGACGGAGTCATTCACACACTAACCCATAATGCGTCGACAGCCTTGTAATGCCTAGGTTCTGTCGTCCGTATAAAGTCTGTATATGAGACGTTTGCCTTCTTCGCCAATGACTAAAGTTTGTAAAGGTTTTGTGTCAGAACTGTACGAGACTAGACCAATCAAGACAGAGCATGCTACCACAAACGAGGAAGAAATCTCATCACAGAATACAGATGGCGGTTTTTTAGCCTTTTTGGCAGACTGCTGGATCTAAACGATGATGTTTTGTCAATACATCAGCCTATTTGGACTGTATCGTTTGCTCTTGTTTCGTCGAGCATGGCATCCTCCCCAATCCCTCCCAATTCAACAGCTTCAATATACCTTGAGTCCATGCTCATCTGTACCAGTTGAGAATATAACTGGCCTCCCTTGCAATTCATAGAATCTCTTCATCACATCGGCAAACAGCATCGAGTACAAATGTCCAATATGAGGTACTAAGTAAAGCATGTGAAAGTCATTACTAAATAGATCATAGATGATTTTAAACGCGATTTGCAACTCGTTCATACCAGAATTGACATAAAAGATAGGACTTGAAACATAAGCTGGTTTACGACTGCTTAATAAATCCGTCAAGCGAAACGACTTTCGTGAGAGAACTCGAAAGGCTCTACTATGTAATCCATATTGTAAGCATCGATTACATATGGGCATCAGCTTTGTAGCTTGTGCGTGATGCATTATAGCGATTGGTCAAAAGACAAAAGTTGTGTTGACAAAAGTTGGAGGAAGATGGACGCAAACCCAGAAAGAGGAGTAAGCAAGTACATATTCAACCTGATTGACGACCTGGTAAGTTGTCTCTGCATAGATCTTCACGTGCTAACAAGGGTAAAACACGCATAAAAGCAATCCTAACAACCAAAAAATCCCTGCTGTGCTTTTGCTTTACGTAAATTGCCTAATCTTCACAGTCGTATTCACTGTTTTTGATACATATTTATTGGAAATAAATAGACCACTGTTGGTATATGGCTGATGATGCAAGCGGGCTACTGAATTCATCATCAAAACCAAATTCAGCTAGCAGACGAGTGTATCCTGAACAAATGTCGACCGAGGGCCAGGATCCATTCGCCATTGGAACCACAATGGTCCCGGAAACGGATAACAACACTACTAGGCTCATCAACTCAGTCGTGCCGGGAACTGAGAAGAATAACGTGATGTCTAGTTCAGATCCGCCAGGTTACGAAGAAGTGGCTCCAGTTCCACTACCATCATCATTAGCTCCATCTTCTCAAACTGGGTACCAACCTGCTCTACCACCTATCCCAACATCATCAGCTCCCATCGTCACGCACATTACATATCCCACATTACGAAGCTTCCATCCTGAAGTAACCCAGATCCCTATCGATGACGACGAACCACCCCTCCAAGCCTCAACAGCTCGAAACCTCCCACATCGAAAGAGCTACCAGCTCAAAGCTCTCTTCCGCAAAACAGCTTCGTATCAAAGACGACAATGTTTCACGAACTGTTGTTGTATTACTGCGTGCCCCGTGTTGATGGTGGCTATATCGTCGATTCTTGGAGCAGTTCTGACTGCCTTGATTGCCAAGACGGCTAGTTATTCGGAACTGCTGTATTGCAGTAACGTTACGGCGCTAGATGCGTATAATTTGCCGATTGCGCTCACGTCCAGCGATTTGAGCAGTTTGCCTAATATTACTGGGAAAGGGTCGATACCTGGAGCTACGCTGGATACCATTTTCGCTACGAACTGTATGTTACATCATCTAGTTTTTTCAGTCAACTTGAAAGGTCAGGAGTTGGTAGCAGGCTAACCAACCACCTCAACGACAGATTTCAGATATGCTGGAGCTCTCTCGCTGAATGGACCGCCAGTGAGTATAGTCTTGACGTACAGTCGAAGAATTGCTACTATCGACGTTCACTGCTTTTTCCCCCAAACTGAAGTCTGTCTTCTTTCAACTGTAGGGAGCCAGTTCATACAACATTAAACGAGTATGCACGAACTGGTTTGGAGAAAGCTACCCATTCTCGACCATCTACGAAAAAGATCCTGGCCTCTCTGGCAACATTGCTGGCAAAGACTCAATGTTTACCGCAGAACCACTCGGCGGATGGTTTAATTTCTTAAACACTACATTCAGTAACGCCACACTAGCATCAAGATACGCTGGACAGATTCAGTTTTTTACAAAGTATCAATCACGACCGTGGTACATGTACACGTTCTCTGACTCTGTCAGTGCGACGGGTTTGCTTGGGACTGCTGGACAGCAACCTGTGGTGCCGTTTAGTCAGGCTGGGTCTGTCTCTGCTGCTGCTTACAAGTGTAAGTTTAAATCATGGAGCAAATAAAGAGGGACGATTCAGTTTGACGAATCACGTTTTTCTTGTAGACGCCAACCAATCGAATGGACTATTGGATACGATGGAGACAAGATATGCGCTTAACATATCAACTACTGTTGTTGGTGATGTTGCAACTTATGTTCCTGCAGGGTACGTTTTCTCCGTGACGGGACAAAAAACGATATTTAACATCTGCCCATTAGGTTTGTGCCAGTACCCGTATGGGTCCCTGTTACTGGAAACACATCCACAGCACTTGACTCAGTCCTCGCGACTGCCTTAAACAACGTCATCCAGCTCCTGGCCGGCGTAGACAAGTCTGTACTTCTTTCCAACAGCAGCAACGCCTTACTGACGCAGTTCTACTCTGCTGTCTCATCGCTAACCCAAGCAATGCCATACGGAGGAGTCTTCTTTGAAACTCTGGACACTACAAACCGAAAATTTGCACATACGCTACAAGTCGGTACCGATGAAAGACTGGCCTCTTCGTCAGGATATCCAGATCCAGGCTGGCGACAGACGATGCTGCAAGCGCGGTTGGGACAGGCGTATATGAGGTTCAGTGGTGGTGTGAATGGGGTGTTGGGAAGTGCTACTATTACACAGGTATGGCTCGTCTGTGTAATCGTGTTTTTTTCGCGAACGAACTCTCGAGACAGCAACACTGACATCTTGTGATGTTTTTCAGGGTCTCCGTGCGTTCCCACAGCTTGCTACTACAGGAGTGTCGCTGCCAATTGCAGGACTGATTGGACGCATCTTGTATCCTTTTGGAATCTCGTTCCTTTTGCCAATCTTTGTGATTGTAAGAACCGTCGGCTGAGTTTAGTTAGCTTGAGATGTAATAATTCGCTTTTTTCTCGCATATTAGACGCTAGTCAAAGAGAAGGAGGATAGGATATTGATGATGATGAAAATGAATGGGCTGAAGAGCTACACGTATTATTTGACGCATTGTGAGTACGCCAGACCTTCTCGAATAATGTGGCTGTGAGTTTTTTCAAACCAATGGCTTACACGTCAAATTGCTTTACAGACATTCATTTCTATGTCCTCTATATTGTTTCGACGGCATTCTTCTTGATTGCTGGACGTTTAGGCAGACTCGACCTCTTCACGAGGACGTCTCCTGGTGTCTTGGTGTTTCTATTCTTTACATGGGGACACGTGCAAGTAGCTCTGGCATTCTTCTTTGGGGCCTTGTTCTCTCGCTCCCAGATTGCTTTGGTTGTGGTGTTTTTAATTGTACTTTGTGGAGTCATCATTTCACTCGTCACTGACTCGCTGTTTGATGGTACAACGGCACCACCTGCTTATTTTATTTGGTATGGTATCGATTTTGAATGTTTTTTTTGCATCCATTGAGGAGTACTTACACAGTGCTATGTCTTAGGCCACCATTTGCCTTCTTCCGCTGCCTCTCATTAATGAACACTGCAGCCTACACCTCAACACTCCAACCATACAAGACCATAACCGGTGAACTATCAAGCGCGGTGGGTTTCATGTGGGCCGAAATCCCCATTTTCCTCCTTCTCGCCCTCTACCTCCAAGCCGTCTTCCCCTCCCAATTCGGAACTCGCAAACCATGGCACTTCATATTCACTGAACCCATAGACTGGTTTTACCGCAAGAAGCGCATGGAAGCAAACAACGGTATCGATCCTAAATCTGAGCATGCGATGGCGCTTGCTATAACTGTCGCACCTGAAGAAGTTGCGCATGAGGACGATGATGTGAGAGCTGAGAGAGCGAGAGTTGTTGAGAAGAGGTATCCGCGAGAGTCGCCACTTGTTATGAGTCATATGAGGAAGGTGTATGGTGGGAGAGGAGGCTTGGGGCCTAAATTGGCTGTCAAGGACGTTACATTGGCGGTGGAAGAAGGGGTTGTCTTCGGTTTGCTTGGCCCAAATGGAGGTAAATGGTTGATATATGGTTGTTATCGCTGGATTGTGTATTGTTGTGTGAAATGGTATCTATATCAGAGTTTGAGGCATCTGACTTTACTATTTTTGTGGTGCTAGCTGGAAAGACCACTTTGATTAGTATTCTTACCGGGTTATATGAGTCGTCAGCGGGTGTTGCACGATTAGCTGGGTTTGACATCAAGACCGAAACTGCCCAGGTCTACCAGCACATTGGAATGTAAGGCCTGTCGTTGTCGTTTGAAGGCTTTTTCCCCATGAGAGATGTGTTTCTCATCCTATTTCCATTTGTAGCTGCCCCCAATTTGATATACTATTCATGGACTTGACCGTTCGTGAGAACTTGCTCTTTGTAAGTCCGCCATTCTTGCAAGTCTGTTTAAGATGAAAAGTTATTCATCTTGAAATACAAGCCCTCACTTACACAAACTCATTCCCGTAATAGTATGCGAGATTGAAAGGTTTGTTGGCATTTGAAGGTTTTGTCCTGTGCTTTTTTTGCTCACGCTTTTTCTTTAGGCATACATTCTAGAGATGAGAGCTCTGTGGTTGAAAGAGCCATGGAGCAAGTAGCGCTTGATACCAAACCCGGTGCTTTTGCCAAAAACCTTAGTGGGTAAGCGACCGGAATACAATCAGATTTGTTGTAATGGTTGTCATTGACATGTGTCTGACATGCTCCTATGTTCCAGTGGTGAGAGGAGACGGCTTTCTATCGCCATTTCTCTTGTTGGAGATCCTACTGTGTAAGTGTTTTGCCGTTTGGCTCGCAGCGCCACATCTCGCATACTGACACACCTTTCTGTTCATATTGAAGCATCTTCTTGGATGAACCAACGACTGGTAAGATTCAATTGTTTGACAAAAAAAGATATAGCGCTTCCAGATGAACATTCAGTGAATCTACACCACCATTCGCTAACATTTCCCATTCACATAGGTCTCGATCCTGAAGTCAGGCGGATGATATGGACCATTATTAATAAAGCCAAGGTCGGAAAGACAATCATTTTGACAACGCATTCTATGGAAGAGGGTATGACCAAATCCTTCGCATCTCGTAGAATTACTCCTTTTACTCGCTAACACCGCACATTTCTTTTCTAGCCGAAGTCCTAAGTCAACGTATAGCCATCATGGCAAAAGGAACTCTCCGCTGTCTAGGCTCTCCACTACGACTCAAGCAGCTTTACGGAAGTGGATTCAAGCTCTACTTTATAGCACAAGAAAAAGACATGAGACGTGCATCAGCCTTTGTGGAGTCTCTGTTGCCTTCTGGGTGGAAGAGGCTGGATGCGTTTAGTACTACTGTTTCGTATGAGTTTAATCCTCCTCGTGGTCATCTAGCGTCGCTGTTTAGTGAGATGGAGAGGAACAAGACGCTGTATGGTGTTGAAGATTATGGGATATCTATGACGAGTTTGGATGAAGTGGTGAGTTGCGTACTGGTGGAAATCTGTTTGAGAGGAATGCTGGTACTAACGCTTGTCTTTTATTTATTTCTCAATAGTTCTTACGACTCATTTCCGAGTCTGATGCAGGTGCAGACTAATCATCTCGAAAGGCATTAGAATCAATTTAATCTGTATATGATATGCTTTACCTCATTGATATAACACGAAAACCTCGGACGAAAATTTGTAAAGGTGTTGGCCATATCGATCGTTATGCAGACGCGATATTATCAGCTTCCCGTGCTGTTTCAGACGCGAAGCGCGTCGCCTCGTGAAGAATTGGTTGTCATCTTCGTCGCTCAAGTCGTTAGGCGTCAAAATCTTTCTCAATTTCCAAACACTCTGCAAGAAACGGTTATTTCTCGTCGATCAAAGAATGGAGAAGGAAGCAGTGATCCCAAGGCCACCAGATGCTCCCAGATCGGATTCAAGCAGGACCATGTCGTCTCCTCCCCCGTCAGGAGAGAACCATGCTGGAGCTTTCAGTGTGTTGGATTCAGCAAGTTTTGGAATGCAGCACATGCTTACTATAGTGGTCGCTGGGGTAAGTCCGATATCATTTTGTCACCTATTTTACTATATGGAATCTGCTGTTCAGCTGGATTTTGGGCTTAAAATATTGATGCATCATTTGTAACAGTTTGACAGATTCACGAGTTTATAACTAATGCTGATACAACATCCGACTCTTTCTACTAGCTGGGTTTCTTTGCCGACTCATATGATCTCTTCATCATAAATCTCCTAATCCCCATCCTCGGATACGTCTACTTTGGCCAACCAACTCTGCCATCCACAGGAAACTCGATTTTGACAGCTTCAGCACAAGCTGGTGCAATCCTCGGCCAGATCTCCTTTGGTGTCCTCTCTGATATATTTGGTCGGAAACGACTCTATGGAATCGAGCTCATGGTCGTCATTATCGGAACCGTTGGTTCTGCAATGTGTGCTCCAACTGTCTCGGGTATGAGCATTATCGCAATGCTCTCACTATGGAGACTCGTGGTTGGGTTTGGTGTGGGAGGAGATTATCCTATGGCTGCTTGTATATCGTCTGAGTTTGCTACTGTGAAACGACGTGGGCTGATGATGGGTCTTGTGTTTAGTATGCAGGGGTTGGGTACGTTGACGGGTATCTTGGTGTCATTGGTGACACTGGCGATATGGAGGAATGAGATTCAAGGAGGGAATATCGCTGCTTTTGATCATGTTTGGAGGATTGCTGTCGTGTTTTGTGTCGTGCCTTGTGTCGCTACCTTATACTTTCGATTGACAATACCCGAGTCTCCAAGATATACCTTGGAAGTAGCGGGTGATGTAGAAGGAGCTACTAGAGATGCTCAACGCTTCTTGTCTACCACTACTGTAAATGGTACCAATGGTGTGGTTCTCGTTATTGACGAGAAGGAACATCGCCCTGCCAAACCTGTTGCTGGACACATACATAACTGGGACAATTTCAAAGAGTTCTGGTGCTCCAAAGTCAATGTATATACTCTTATTGGAACTGCTGGTCCTTGGTTTCTGATAGACATTGCAATCTATGTATGTTTCCTCACTTAGTGCAGCTTTTTTGGGGTCTGTTACATACTCATTTTTCGTTATTTGGCCGTCTAGGGACTTGGATTGAATAATACCCTTATATTGAATGCCATCGGATTCGGCGCATCAACAGATCCATGGCAAAATGTTCAAAACTTGACTGTAGGAAACCTCATCATTGCTTTACTAGGTAAAAAAAAAACCTGACTCTATCTCTATTGTATCTCCTGCTGAAAGCTTCTGTCTTAGGTAATATACCTGGTTACTTTCTTGGTGCTACATTCTTGGATAGGATTGGAAGGAGGAATTTGCAGATGATTGGATTTGGTGGACAAGTGTAAGATTGTCAAAGCCGATTGCCAATCTTCTTGTCAATATTTTCACATCGTCTGACAATTTTTGTGGTTTAGGGTCATGTACACAATCCTTGCAACGGCATACGACAAGATTCTCAAGACATCAGTGGCTCTTTTCATGGTCTTGTATGCAATCGCTCAGGTTTGAAATGAAGGTTGCCGCAGGGTGTGGAGCTTTCCGAATTCATCAAAGTCAATCTTTTTTCTCCCTCTTTCAGATCTTCAACAACTTTGGGGCCAACTTGACAACATTCATCATCGCTGCTGAAGGTACAGGCAGTTTGATATCTCGTGCTTTCTCGCCGTGAAGACATCAGCATTGATCACTCGTCTCCTCCCAACCTAGCATTCCCAACGAGGTATCGCTCTACTGGTCATGGCATATCAGCAGCCTGTGGCAAAGTCGGTGCATTGATTGCATCCTACGGATTCTCACAAGTCCAAAAGGCTATTGGTCTCGGTTCCACTCTTGGTATATTGGCTGGGTTCATGTTCTTGGGGTTCATCACAACATATTACTTTACTCCTGAGACTGGAAATGCTGGATTAGGTATAACAAGTTCACAAGACATGGTGCTGATGGACGCTAACTCGCAATTTTGTCTTGCAGAGAATTTGAATGAAAAGTTGATGGCCACACCGATATTGAATCCGGACAATGACAAGATATTTGGGCCAATGAGGCGAAGGATTGTCGTCCTTTGAAAGCCAAAACGTTTAGACGACATTGTAGAGTTGGCATGTATTAACCCATATTTTATCCCACATCATATGTTATCCCATCGCTAGACTAAGAGAATTGTTAGCTCTGAACGGCGCTTGTTGTTTCGGCAGGCGTTAGGGAATGTAAGGGGGAGAGGGTGTACAGTCAACATTGATTAAAGCCACGACATCACAGTTACAAGAAAACGGAATTGAAATCTCTCTACTTTGGTACCTCCAGGTTTTCGTACTAAAAGTCGTTGTGTTGCAATTGTTCAGTTCATCCGCCGTACGTTACCTACATATCTTGTGACAGCAGCTTTACAATTGCATATGGAGTAACTCGCGAATTCACGTATGAGCCTAGTGATAAATGCCTTTCAACTTAACTTTCTCTCGCAAATCAGGCCTCGACGTCCAACTTCACCATCAACAAACACCAAATAGAACGAGCGAGAGAGAGGGAATATAACAACGATGGTGATGATGTTTTCGGACCAGATAGTGAGGATGGACTAGATGCTGGTGAACATGCTACCGCATTGGCGGAAAAGATGAAGCTTTCAAAACGTTGGATTCTGCTAGTTTCGGATTGCAGCTTTTGCTAACTATTGTTGATGCTGGTGTAAGTTTCTATCAACATATTCCGGAGCAACATTTATGCTTTTTGGCTCTTGTGACAATAATTTGTATAGGCCAAAAGACCTTCTGAATCTTTCTCCTGATGCTCACTCTCCAACCATACCAAATAGCTCGGCTTCTTTGCCGATTCATACGATCTCTTCATCATAAACGTCCTCATTCAAATCGGATATGTGTACTTTAACCAAGCAGCTCTCATATCACCCGGAAACTCAATCCTCGCATCCGGAAGCTCAATGCTCGCATCATCAGCACAAACCGGTGCCATCCTCGGACAACTCACATTCGGCGTCCTCTCAGACATGTTTGGCCGTACACGTCTATATGGACTTGAGCTTACTATAGTAATCATTGAAACGATTGGATCAGCATTGTGCGCTCCAATGATTTCTCGCATGAATTTTATCGCCATGCTTTCGTTATGGAGAGGAGTGGCTGGGTTTGGTGTTAGAGGCGATTATTCAATGGTAGCTTGCATATAGTCTGAGTTTGCTACTGTGAGTCGAGGTAGTTTGATGACGGGGCTTGTGTTTTAGTATACAAGGACTCGGTACCTTGACCGGTATCTTGGTCTCATTGACGACACTATCGTTATGGAAGATATGAGGTGAATGATTTGAAAGCAATCGTGCATTTTGTAGTAATCTTTTTTTCTTCATTTAGATCTTCAACAACTTTGAAGCTAATTTGACTACATTCATAATTGCTGCTGAAGGTAAGACTGTCGCATGAATCTGCTTCTCATCGTGGACCACATCGGACTTAATGCTTTTGCATGTAGCATTCCCAACAAGTACCGCTCAACAGGCCACGGAATTAGTAGTCCCAGCAGCATATGGCAAAGTATGAGCACTAATCGCATCTTACGGATTCTCTCAAGTAAAGGTTGCTATTGGTTTTGGTCCTACTCTTGGCATATTGGGCGGTTTTTTTGGGGACTTGTCAATACGTATTATTTGACGCCAGAGACTGGAAATGCTGGATTACGTATGAAAATATGATCATTAGTGGTTGATTGATGTGATGTGTAACTGAATTCGGTTTTTTTCTCGCTCCAGACAATCTCAATGAAGCGCTGATAGCAACACCAGCCTTGAATCCCGACAATGATGTGATATTTGGATCATTTCGAAAGTAATGGGCTGAGAGTAACTGTGTGCAATAGAAATCATGTGTTGGATTGCGCTTTTGCATTCAGGCGTGAGTTTATTAGTGAACTTAGCGAACGCAGCAAGGGGCGAAGTAAAACGTGAAACAGGTTGGAATAGGATGGTAGGCTGGAAATAACGTCTAGAACAAGATACCTTTGTTCTTGTTTTCTACTTTAATGTTTCCTTGGTTTCCTTCCGTCTCCTTACCAAGTTCCCGAGTCCTCTCAAACAACTTTTCGTCACCAACAAACTCCCTTGCTTGGAGAGTGATTCGCTATTTGTACTTTTCAATAGTCTCACCTTATAGACTATACACTGGTGGACCATTCCTATTCTCTCGTCGCTGCTCTCCTCTGTGCGTGTCTGGCCTAAATCATTTTGATCAGCATGTCGAAAGGGTTGGTCATTCCCCTCTTTCTCTGCATACATTACTGGACCATAGCGGTCAATGGACAGACTGTACCATGCTTATCATTGGCATCTAGTATCTCCTGCTCTGCTTTCTCAAAGGTAACATTAAACTGTTTCAAAAATCGTAAGGAGTCGAAATCACACACACCCAGACATTTTATTATCAAACGAGCGTTTGATCTCCAGTACTACATAATATTGGATGTGCAACTCTGTTATTGATCGACTTGTCATATTAGAACTCTGTGGTCATTAAGCCGGAATTGTATACGGATATTCAGTCTTTCGATCTCTACGTGAGAGAGCACTATGACAACTGTACAAACTATAGCAGTGTCTTTTCTCAGTCATACGATTGCCCAGGCGTAAGTTTTGATGTCAAGCTGACGGGCCCGTACATATTACTCACTCTTGATTCATCATATAGTACAAAGGCCAAGGTCAACGATACCACATATCGACATTTTGCAGTCTCCTCGTAGAACGATCCACCATTCTCGGTTGTGGCGCGCCAGTACAGCAACTCTGTGTGAGCACTTGCCAAGCAGCCGTCAAGAGCTTGACATCACTCTTCGACTCTCCCAACATTTGCACTCAAAACTCACAACTGGCAGCCATATCCCGCTCTGAAACACTTCGTGTGTATAACTCGCTATGTATGAATCTGACAGCTACGAGTCAGACGGGTTGTATTGTTAATGAGCCATCCGTACTTGAAAATGTAAACTGTGGGTTCTTTAGTGGTGCTGAAAGGATGACTTATTGCGCTACGAATCCGAACGACATGTGTTGTCAGGGTGCTGGAAATGGTGGAGGAGTGCCGGTGCCATCTGTGGCTACTATGAGGCCTAGTCCTACTGCTGTTGGAACTGGTGTGTCCGGTAATCCACCATCACCTGCTAGTATAGTGCCTAAGACACGTCCTACAAATAATGCTGTGCCGCCTCAACAAACTCGTGCTGCTCCTGCAATCGCTACTGCTGCGACAGCAGCTGCTGCTTCTGCCTCTTTCCTGAGCAAGGTATACTAACAACTCATGTGTCGAGCATTACTAAAGTATCAAGTGCAACTCTTCTCACGTATCTCCCGTTCCCTTTTCAAATTAGAACTCAACCATACTAATCGCTCTTCTTATACTCATCATCTTGGCCGCCGTCATCGGATTCTTCCTGTATCGAAGGCATCAAGCAAACCAAGCATCTCAAATCGGTGTAGACAACGCCAATCTACCACCAGACGCCAAAGACGGTGATGATTCAGCCAATCAGCTAAACAATTCCGGCCAGCCTGGTGGTTCTGGAGGTCTATTAGGTTGGCTCTTTCCGCAAAGGCTTACTACAAGAAACGCAGAAGGTCTTGACGATGATGATACGGCAGTCGAACAAGCCATACATAGAGAAGAAAGCACCAAGAAGACGGGTGTTAGATTTGGTGCGTTGTTGGCCTTTATGAGACCTAAACCCAAGCCGGTGGAGATTGAGGGGGGTTATGGATCGAGGGATGAAGATATGCAGTCTGTGCATGAGCTGCCTGGTGGTTCTGGTTCGAATAATCGTCAAAGCATGGCGTCGTCAAGTAAGAGTGGTGGGATCTTTAACAGGTATGGAGTTGATAGAAGTATTGTTTTTTTTGCTTGAACTTTTGGAAATGCTAAACCCACCAATTGTAATGCTTTAGGCTGTTTGCCAAGTCTGCTAAAAGGCATGAAGCTGTTGCCAACTACTTTCCTGTAAGTTATTGCATCAGTGGAAAAGTTATTGCATCATTGGAAGCCTTCAAACTTGGGCTCCAAGAGCTAAAAAACGACGAATGCGTGGTAGTCGAATGATTCCTAATGCTGCGAAATCTACACTAGACTGCTGACGACGAGATTGAAGTGCTGATCAAGGATAAGATAGAGGTGAAGACGAACTTTGATGATGGTTGGGCAATGGGTAAGCAATCAGCTCGTACAGTTTCCGTTTGACTTCATTTATACGAACTTTGCTACTGTAGGTCGCAACCTTAGAACAAAGAAGGAGGGAATATTCCCTATGGGTAAGCATTGTCGAGCATCGTGTCTTGTAAAGCAGTTCCTGATCCATATGATGCCCCTTGTTGACCACCTTTGTTTTCTCATCACAGCATGTCTTGGAATGGACGAGTTGGGTCTGCCAATACATCCAAGCTTACTCACTGCCTCGGGAGAAGAACCTGTATTTGTGGACACGATGCAGCGCTCTAGCTCTGTGCCGTCAGAATTTAGATCAAAACCGCCAGAAGGCGATGCTGATACCATCAGGCCATCAGCGTAAACTTATTTTTGTAATTCCTTGTCATCGATTCCATCAAAAAGAGAAGTCATTTGTTGCAAGATGTGTGTTTGGGTATTAGCGGATTTGCATTAATTGTTAGTTGATGGTTGTTTTAGTCGCAAATATTGCAAGCACGAAGACTCAAAGGTTTGATCATCACGCGTAAATGAATTCTTCAATATCATAGCAATACGAAACAGCTTGCCATGACGTCTTTCTCCTAGTGTTGTGCACCTCTCATAGTTGTATCACTCTACCACCCAGGTCTGAATATTGGTTCCTTCCTTAGGACAGTGTTTGGATTGCTTGGCACCATGTTTGGAAACATTGGTGCATTCTTTAGGACAGTGTTTGGCAATACCTTATACACTATAGTCTTTGTGGCTGGCTGTGGTGGTTAATAATCTGGTCATTATTGGGTCTTAGTTTCGGGTTGGTAATTTGGCACCATCGATCAGGTAACATACCAAACATCGAATGAGGAAGCTTTCTTCATTTATCAAATCTAATACTCTTAACAGATAGTTTGACTGGAGAATTTTCAGAGAAGTCTTTCGAATGGCGTACATCTATCGGACGTTCGAAAAAGCCAGGCTCGATCCGTGTCAAGTTGTCACGAGCCATCAACTATAATGCGCTGTGTGGTTTTCATGCAATGTGGTGTTGAGACTTTTATTATTGGGTCTTGGATTCCCTTAATCCTTGCTGAATAAATCTGTTGAGTTTAGTCCAAAGTGTCGCAATGGCGAAGACTCTTCGAGCGATAGATCACGGTTCTTGAGAATTCGAGGCCGTCGAGTTTCGCTGCCAAGGAAACCAATTCAAGCCTATTGCCTCTATTTGCCTGTAGTTGTTGTGTGCGCGGAAAAGTTGGGAACGAGTAAAGGCGGACCTCTCTAAAGGCGGCAGTGAGAAAGGCTTACAGTTCGTGCATTTACGCGTTACGTCACATCAATTCACTGGAAATTTCTATTCTACAAGGTTGCAAGCTACAAATAATGACTTTGAGACAAAGAAGTACACAGTAGACTATTTGGCAACCTGCACTATGAGGCAACCTTTTAATAGTTTTATATGGTTTATACCCCTTCAACTCGGTTTTGAACACAGTTGGCCCGTTTCGGCTTCAAGCTACCGATGAATGCACGGGGGCTTTCCTGCTTTAGAGTACTCAATACGAGAGTACCATCAGACATTTGATATACTGCCAATCCAAATGGGTTGATTGTGCCGTCTTGGAGGCCGTAGATATTCAGACAAGTCTTCATCTTACTCTCAGCACGTACATAGGCAATACGTTCAGCCAGTTCGCGAGACATAGTGCAGTTCCAGCATTTCAGATACCTGAGTTTATCCAATTTCGTAGCCATAAGTTCAATACTGTGCTCATCAGCATCTCGTGGGAGATTCGAAGAGGCCAGGTTGGGACAATAGTCTACTAATACATCGACCATCAAGGAGTCAGTTTCATTGACCCATTCATCTATGGTCAAGTGCTGAAGCTGACCGCCATATGTGGATAAAAGATGGAGTGCCTGTGGTTTATTGTATGGCAGAGTCAAGTATTGGAGACGTGGGATTGCATATGTGGGTAGAGGACAGAGTTCGATATTCGAATTTAGATATAGTTTACAGAGAGTCGCGGCGTGGCGTTCAATGACATTGGCAGCTATAGTTGAAGGGTGACTTGGAAGTCGAGTTGGTGTGTGAAACAGCGGTCGAGTGCTATCAATCCTCAAAGATTCGAGGTTTGATTTTGCTGCTGGCGAAGCCAAAGACATCAATAGCCGGCAATTGTCGATTGCTCTTAATTCTCTTACTAGCACCCTTACAGATATGAGATTTACATATACATCAAAGTTCCATAGAGGTGTAGCGATACTCAAGCCATCAACACGGACATTGATCGAGGTTAGGCTTTCAGTGCTCTGTGACATTAAAGCCTCGAGAGTCGACCTGATCTGTAATTCTTCTCCCATGGTACTGAGAGTCACGCTGTCGACTTTCAAATGTCGCATTACCGTCCAGATAGGGAGCGAGCCAGGATCCATAATACTGAGTTTACAACGAGGATTTCTCACTGCAAACAAGCGAGGGATTTCTTCGTCTATAGGTTCTGAATTATAGCTTGGAGTGCGAATCAAGAGGGTGTCCAAATCTCGAGCATGCTTCAATAAGCCGACAAAGGAGCCAAGGAGGTCAACGTCACTTAGACTGTGACAGCGCTCCACCATGCGGGAGATACGTTGTTCGTCGAGATGAAAGGTACTTTGACTGGCAGAAAGATAGATGAAGAGTTTATTAGATAAGTAGACTGCAAACTGGAGCACCGACGCGTGCAATTCCAACACATGCAAATCCAAACCGTTAACAACTGCTACGTACCAACTGCAAGGAGATCCAGCGACGTCTGTGAATCCAACAGGTCTTCCCCTCATTTCCAGCTTCTTCACATGCTTCAAAGCGTCTTGCCCAATTTGCTCTGAATTATCGAGAATAATGTCGAGATGATGAAAGCAAAAGGAACGACTTGTTTCCGAAGGACAGCGTAGTTTCCGGTATAATATACGAAGTGCCTATCGATTTGGTATAGTATCAGAACATTCAACTTATTGAGTAACATGAAAGCAAAAACATTTCAGACAGATTCATTCCAATGCTTGGATGCAAGAGCCACATGCGCAAGAGTTTTGGTGTCAATGTCATTGCCGTCCTTCACATATTCTAGTATTTGATCGACTATTTCTGTAGGCAGCCACACTTGTCCTTCCACCATGTCGTCCATCTTTGTGGTGAATGTGATGACAGTTAGGAGCGGCGGAGACAGCAAGGTGTAAGATCCCAGGAGGGAGTGCATCAAATGGGAACTTGACGCGATCGAGGCTCTTTAATGACGTTTGCTGGTCGCTTTTTCCAAGCAAGAAGAATGCGCATCAAACCCTAGCAAACCACTTTTCGAGATTTGAGAGACCTTCACCATGCTTTAAGACTCAAATGACGCGTCTTATTCCATATCAATCTGCAACCGTATGGTATTGATGCTTGTTTCTGCAAGAATCTTGTGCGGCAAGTTTAAAATGCATTTCAAGGACGTGTCCTATTTTGCCGCAATTATGAATAACTGAAACTGTTGCGGTTTAAATCAATACTTGTATACGAATTCCTCGATATCATACCATTAAATAACAGCTTTCCTTCTCCCTTACCTCCTGTACTTATTCGATAGTAGCAGTTGTAGGCTGGTGTAGATGTGTTACCCATTCGCGCAGAAGACGACAAGTTTATGATAACCGGGACGGCTTGCCGCGAGACCTCACAAGACACAATTACTGGGTCCTAGCCTACTCTGCTATCCAAACTTCCTTGCAGTTCAAGCACATCGAAAGGATATTTTCAACCATGTTGAGATTCACTCTCTTACTACTGATTTTCGCGATACTTTGGACATGTATATATGCTCAGCAGCCAGATTGTATGAAACTTACTGGCTCAAGTACTTGCACTGCTTTCCAAAAGGTAAATTGCAGTTCAACATCTCTTTCGTTGTGCATACAAAAAAAAGCAACTCGAGAACCAGTTTCAAAAGTGGATTCCTTGATTACGCTTATATTGAGACGTGAACGTATTGTAGTATTATGTCGCTTACATTTGCCCTCTTACTTGTATAGGACTCTGTGTTTGTTTTGCCAGAATACTACAATGATATACCGTCTTTTGATATGTATATGAAGTCGATCATGGATAATCAGACTGCTTATACGCAGAGCTTTCAATCAGTTTACGATTGCCCGAACGTAAGTTTTGCTAGTTCTCTTTCTCAAAAAGTAGGAAGTGCAGCAGCATTCACTGAAGTCACTGAATTCACTCTGCTGACACCTTCTTCTTTGGCTCTTAGTACAATGGTCTCGGTCAGCGATACCATGTAAGGAATTCACTTTGGAAACTTGGAAACTACTTTCTCCCTGCTCGAAGCTGACCTGCTTTCCCTTCTCATTCCTAGTTATCAACCTACTGTGCCATGCTCGTCGTAAAATCAGCCACCAAAGGATGCACTCCAAACCCAACTCCTCAAGCTCTATGTTCCAGCACTTGTCAAACAGCGCTCTCGAGCTTACAACAAGTATTCAGTATGTGTACGCCGACTCCATCACAAAGAGTAATGTCAGCACGAAACGAAACGCTGCGCGTATACAGCTCCCTTTGTACGAATTTGACGGTCTCCGGAACACCCGCAAATTGTATAGCATCCGAACCATCTGTTGGAGAGGATGTAAATTGTGGGTATACGACAGTAGCACAGAGACAGCAGCACTGTGCAAGGAATACGAATGAAGGGTGTTGTTTGGCTGCATCCCAGAATGGGATTGTTAGTAGTATCAATAATGGGACTGCTGTTGTTAACACTACAACAACGAATGTGGTGGGACGTATTGGGACATTCTTTAAAAGTGTGTTTTCAAGTACAAGAAATATTATTTTCTTTGTGGCTGCTGTATTGACTACGATTATCATGCTGGGTGTTATCGTTGGGGTGTATATTTGGTATCGTCGAGCAGGTACTTACAAAGTTTCGGGAGACTTTTTTTTGGCTGTCTAACATTTCTTTGAATCACAGTTCGACAGTTTGATGAGCCTGAAAATAATTCTCGATGGAGTGCTGCGAATGAGGTGCATCCTTATGTTGCTCCAGGTCAAGAAATCAAGGCTTGATTTGTGCTAGGATTGTGTGCCATATTATGTGGTAAGCTGTGTGGATCCGAGATGGTGTGTCGTACAGTTTGCGATTTGATATGAGTCTTTGAATCTTTAATATCTCTTTTAATAAACTATCAACAAATATTGCTCATGATCAACGATTCGGGTTTAGGTTTGACACCAGGTCAGGTCGGAGACTCCAGCGCTTGTCTCCCGTCGAACAAATCGTCATGCCAAACTTCTACACTTCGCAGGTTGATATTATTAGTCCCAAAAGTTCACACAAAACGTTCGCTACCGAGGAGAAGAACAAAATGCAAGAATTTTGTCATAGTGAACTCGATAAGTCTTTTGCTTCACTTCTGTAGGCTCTTTCAGAGCAAATGTTTGAAGTCCGTTCATGCGTTCGCCCATCCAGCTCAGAAGATCCATATATTATAAAGTAATTTGTGACGTAAAATTACGCTTACACTTACCCTTTGGCGTTGTTTTTCAAATTAGCGTCTATTGAGGATGGATGTTTTCAAACTATTGAGAAATGTAATAGTTAATGAGCGTTCTGAACATCTCAAATAATTAAATGATTATATACTTGTAGTACCGAGAGAGAATCTTGTCCATCTGACGCGTTGTACGGCACGTGATTTAATCGTTCATCAATTCACTCCACGAAAAGCATTGGCAACTATACCTGGTGACGTAGAACCAAGGACACGGCCATTGCTATCGTATGAAGTCATAGACACTCTGTTATAAGAGCCTAGTGGCAAGGACCTCCTTGAAATGCGTGAGTTCTCGTCACCATTTTATTGTAAATTGTTGTCAATTTTTTAACCCTGGTACAGTCCATAGGCAGTCCGCAAGCAACTCTGCCGAGTCCATCTCAAGCACATCTGATGGCATATCTCCCAAACTAGCCAAAGTGCTGTCGAAAAAGAACGAATTTCTCACCATCATTGGGCATCACAATGCAACATCTGCAACCACACCATCACAACCATATTCCGAATCCAATGAACGAGAACGAGACGTAACAATCTGCTTACGAACACGTCCATTACTACCACACGAACAATGGAGTATTCATAGCGTTAAAATGGCCAATCCCAAATGCACAGTCTTCTCCATTGACGAAAAGTTTGATGGACGTATGCTGTTGAAACCGAACGAGTCGTCGTATGATATGACTTTTGGAGAAGATGTGGGTAATAGTGAGATACATGCTGTTACTACGCGAGAGTTGTTGAGGACGGTGTATGGAGGTGCTTCTGCTACGCTTTTCGCATATGGACAAACCGGCAGTGGCAAGACGTATACTTTGAACGGGATTGAGGAGTGCGTTGGTCAGTAGTCTTTTCTGTTGGATCACAATTTGTTGTCATGATCATAACGGTCATCTACCTAGGTAATGAGCTGTTTGAAATGGCAAAAGCATATCGACAACGAACCACGCCCAATGTTCCAATACCAGATGATGCAGATTTTGATATATTCATCTCCTTCTTTGAGCTATTTGGGAATCGTGGATTTGACTTGTTGAATGAGCGCTCTGAAACGGTATAGTGCGAGCAGTTTGCTGGGTTTTTGGTCTCGACACACTTGATTGCTTCAAATCCAAATTAACATCGCTCTCAAACATTAGGTCCAAATCATGGAAGATGTATTTGGAACCATACAAGTCAAAGGAACAACAGAGGTTCAAGTCTCAGCACCTGAACAGGTGCATGAAAGAGTGCGAATAGGTAAATTGTCAGGACTCATTCTCATCACCACTTCAGTTGCTTACACGGTTTTTGCATCAGCAACGTCGTATCGCCGTACTGAAACGACATTCAAGAATACCACATCGTCGAGAAGTCACGCTGTCTGTCGGTTTAGGATAGTAGACAAGAGGCGCCCGTCTGCTGAGCCTGGGATTCTGATGCTCATTGATCTGGCTGGTATGCGGTTGTGCAGCACTTTCTGGTGTGGCCAGTTTGAGGAATGGTCTCTTGACTTTTTTTTGCCGTTTACAAAAGGTTCTGAAAACACAGCGGATGCCATGTATCATGACAAGAGCAGGGTTGCAGAGACTAAAGAGCTCAACAAGTCGCTCGCAGCGATCAAGGTATGTTTGTCTCGACGCAAAAAAGGACTAGTATCAAATAATGTTGTGAGTCTCACATCTGACTCCCAATCATTTATATGTTCCAGGAATGCATTCGAACAAGGTCTCTAGCCCTCACATCCGACAAGATGGTCCATATACCATACCGAACCACTCGTCTTACCTTATTGCTCAAAGATACCTTCGACTTGACAGTACCCAGACCATGCAAAACCATCGTCATTGCCCATCTATCACCATCCATAGTCGACACACCTCAATCTCTAATGACGGTTCGATTCGCAGCACCTCTCAGAATAATAGCTTCGAAACGAGACGATATGGCATCAAACAGTGAGGTCGAAAATCCAGCCACTTGGACAAACCAACAGCTTCGGGACTGGTTTAGTCGAGATTTAATAGGTGCCAAGCTGGATTTGGAATTGTTTTGTCCGTATGAGACTGGAATGCAAATGTGTCGATTGTCTGAGGGGGAGTTTGTGGCCAGAGTGGATGAATGTGCTACGGAACGTAATGCGATGGGTGAATCGAGGATTTCACAGATTGAGGCATCCAAGTTTTATATACGATTGTGGAGGAAGCTTATTGAAGCTCGTACAAAGGTCAGGAAGGAGAAGCTAAAGTATCGTCCCAATGCGAAACAACAGAAGGAACGTGATCTGGAGTATTTGAGAATGTACGGAGAGCAGATGAAGCAATAAAAATAACGCTAAAATTGTCAAGGAAAGCAGACTTGGGACGGCAGGCGGCTGGGTTGGCAATGCTCGTACTAGTAGGCTGTTTGGTTCATCACTGTTGGAATTCCGTGTACTTGCGATGTCTTCTCTGCTACGGGGGCTGTGAAGGTATCGATTATTTGCACTTTAGCCTTTTCCTGGCACCTTCTTTTTTGGAGGCGTGTTCTGCCCATCACTCAACACCTTGAGTTTGATGATTTTCAAGTTATTGAGCGAATACTTCGATATTCTTCCAAAGATGATGGCAAGATATTACGGCTTGGCGATGCTATCATCGCAAAGTACACACGGCAGAATCACCAAACCCACAGTTAACCCCTCTCTCCATACTATTAAGAAGTGCCTCATAGCGACCAGTTGAAGAAAACGTATACACTTCCAGAGACCCCCAGTCCAGCAGCTCCAAGTTCCCACACGCCCCTCTCCTTGAGTCTTTATTCCGTGTTTGTTTGTGTTCATTTTGTGTGTGATGACAGTTAGACGCAGAAGGCAATAGATCAATGACCGAATGACGTGTTGAAGAAATATTTGATATCCCAAGCGCTCGCTCACGCCTCCTTTGAGATTCCATATCATTGTAATGCCACAGCACCCGAGCAGGGCGTGAATGAAGTCTGCTTGGGACAAAACACCATTATACCTTACTATGAGAGAATGTATATCAAATACATATACAATGCAATGAAAACCACCTAAAATACAACAAAACGCCCACCATTACAGCCATCTCTCAATCATCATCAAACGCTTCAATATCATCAATTTCAACAAGTCGTCCCACGCTCGGCGTAGTAGGAGACATCAGCGCTTGCTCCGACTCATTTACATTCGATATACGTCCAGATAATGGGATACCAGCATCCTCGTCTTCAGGTAGCTCTTTATCAACCACATCATTCTCGTCTATTGAATCATGATGACCAGCATTCATTCGTAGTTGTGGTTGTGAGGGATGTGTGTTTGGGAATTGAGTTAGTTCTGAAACTAGTGGTGCGAGGTACGGAGCTGTGTTTTTGAAAGGAGAGGGGCAAGAAGTGCGTTAGAAGTGTTTGAATCCATATTGCTGCTGAGTAAAAAAACGACAGGCGTAGAAGATGCACGCTTCGTTCCAAACAAGACTCAATCCATCAAACAGCACTTACGTAACATCTGCTCAACAACACCAAACACATTCTTTTGCGGCTTCAATATCTTAGCCATGTACGGAATCAAATCCACCCTCCCAACATCAAACGACGTCATGGAACAAACCCTTGTTCCGTTACCAACACCTTCATTCTCCTGTTCATTGACACTATCATTCAACAAACACCACATACTCTTCCGTATATATTCATCTCGTGTTCGTATATCTGAATTGACTTGAAACACTTGCGGTCTGTAAAATGGTCTAAAGACGTGTGGTGGTCGTGGTCGAGTATCAGGGAATAGAGGGTTTGATTCTGGCAAGTTGGTTAGGTGAGCAAATGCTAGTCCGCGTGTAGCGAGGGATGTTGCGTATGTTGATAATTGGTTGCGGAACTAGAAAAGGAGGAGATTTGAGAAAAAAAAATTCGAAGAACATTTATAATCACGACACATTGCGACTTTTCTTTTACCATCTTGGGAGCTAATAACAAATCCGCCGAGGCTAAATAGTCAGCTGCAACTTCAATCTCTTCAATGTCAATATAAAATGGCGGATAGTTTTGATGTAGATACGCATTCAAGAAATCAGCTTCCATATGACCATCTTCAGCAATCCTCTACGAAAGCAAAGCAAAAGAAAAACAGGCCGTTCAACCAATTGAATCACAAATGACTGCGTCAACAAATTACCTCAGGCTCACGAGCAAAAGGTTTACGCTCATAATGTGCCATATACGAGGGCAACTTGGTCATCCCCACTCCTTGAGGTCTCATGACAACATCAGGTTCGTACAATTGATATACGGTCGGTGGTTTGGATATCCTTTTATCACCAATTCCATGTGATCTACCATCGCCCTCTCGCTTATTATACAGAATCTTGCCCAATACTCGAAATATCAATAGTGATACGTCTCTTGTGAATGGGTTTTGCAAATCCATCCTATTCAGATTAATAAGGAATCATTATAGCACAGAAAAACATACTTGAGATGTGATTGACTTGCACTGACGATTCTGCCTTTTTCTTCCCCTTGCCAGATTTGCCAGCAGAAGTACCAATAACTCGAGTTTCATGTCTCGTTAACCCCATGAATTGCATTCCATTGATGGCACATCGGATATCTCCATTTGATGTCTTAGAAATGTGTTCAATGTCACTTGAAGTAGGCCGATGTAACTTTTGTGAAGCTGTCCGATAGACCATCTCACATATCCGAGCCAAGCACTTTTTGATCAATGTTGGGGCAATTGGGTTGAATCTAAGGTATAGATGTTAGTTTGAGCAAAAACAAAGCCAAACTGGAGATCACTGCTTAAGAAGAGCACAAACCTAATCTCAGCAACACATCCCAATGCAGACACATCGCTCGGCACTACATCCTTAACGGTAACACTCTTTTCGTCAAATCGGCCAGGATCACCACCAGTACATGCAACTTCAGATACGATAAACACCAACGGAAATTTAGACCGTCGTGAATTTGCAAATGCCCGTACCGCACTATGAACGACAGCTCTCGTCTTGTCGTTGGACACATTAGGTAAATCTTCCATGAGTATGAGTTTACGTGATTGAGTGACTTGTTGAGGTATGGATGTTTGGGATGAGGATTCAAATGTTAGTGAAGGGTATTTATCTGCTCGTTCGAGGAATTGGGTGAAGCGTTGTGTTATGGATTCGTAGCTGTGAGTATATTCTAGGGTGAGGAAAACAAGGTGAGGGACAAGCCATGCAAAAGATAAATCAGAAATACACAACAATACCTCCATCCTCGGTTCCTTCAAACAAGTTGTTGTTGAAGGGATTCAACCATTCCAAGATTTCAATGCGCATCTCCGAAGCCAAGACACGCAAAGCGGCTGTCTTGCCAGCTCCTGAAGGCCCAGTAAGACAAAGAATGCGCTCTCTCTATATATACGAGAGTTCATGGATGACCCAAAAAGGCAGACATAAACCTCAACCCCAACACACCTTTGAAGGCCGATTCGACGTTGCAGCTTGTAGCCACCCTCGTACTTCACTCACTTTTCTAGAATGAACTGCGAGTTCCGCCTGCATTACAGATGTTGTCTGAGTTGTAATGTTGCGATAGAAAGCGAGCGACAGAAACCTGAGTTATACCTCTGACACAGGATGAAACTTGTCAATCCACAGCTCATTCAACTCGGTAGATATAGGCTTTTTGACTTGAGAAGATGATGATGAATCATCCATGTATGTCGGTCCAGCAGCACCAGGGACAACCCATCGCTTTAGTGATGACTGTTCTGGACTCTTGATTGTCTTCTAATATACACGTCAAGGAATCAGCGAATGAGTAAGCTGAATATATCACAAATGCGCGGTGCAGTTGAGGAATATACCTGTTTGGCACGTACTGCAGTCTGAACTTGAGGCTCAAAATCGTCCTCGTCGTCATGATGATCGTTACCCTTGCCACTCCTTTTCGGCATTGGCGAGTCCTCTATATCACTATCAATCTGCTCTACATCAGAGTCGTCTTGTTTTGTCGATGCTTTGAGCTTGGTACTAGTAGGCTTCCTTTTCTTGTTTGCGACTAGAGTTGACGACGCTTTTGATCCTTTGCTTCTTGTACTAGTAGTCGAGGAGGTAGTGGTATCCGAAGCAGTCGAAGATTTGGTTGAAGCAGCTCTAGTTAATGGTCGTTTCGAAGCTCGTTTCGTCACTTGTGCTGGACATGAAGATGTTGGTTGATGTCGATCATCAAGATCAGTCTAACGTGAGTGAGTAAGTAAGCAATAATTCTAACAAATACGATATGAAATAACTTTGATTTGATGCATCAATGTCCAAGCTTACGACTTCTAATGGCGACTTCCTCTTTTTTGCAGGAGGAGAGTAGATCTCTTCTCGCTCCGCCTTTGGAACTGGAGCATGAGTGGTCTCCTCTTGCTCATCTCCGTCGTCATCAGATGAGCTGTATAGTATTCGTCTCTTGGGCCCCATACCTCCAAGCTCTAATCAACCAACATTTTGTGAGGCTACAGTGAGTGACTGAAGGAATGCTTGAGATGGGACGAGATCAACGCTTACTCATCATTTTATCTGAATTATTAGATAATAATGTCTCGAATAATGTGTGGATCTACTATTTGGAGGTGAGTATCGAACGAATGCAGCGACCTTTGTTTCTTGATCATATTGATGATGATGTGGTAGCGATCATGGAGTTTCTGCAACCACTCATTGCGACTGATTTATTCATACTGACACGAAATCGTGTATCTTAAAGAACACTATATTACGATCTGTGATGTCATCTACTAAGCTATAAAGTGTGTCCTACTTCAAACACATCACAACCAAAGCTCGTTGCCCACGCACCAAAGTCAATAAATATCATAAGCATGTCTTCGTGGTCTGTGAATGCCCCTGTTCCTGGAGGCACTGGAGGCAAGACACCAAGAAATCCCACTGAAAAGGATACTCTGAAAGGCAAAACTGTCTTCATAACAGGTAAGCAACGAATTGTGAGACTGTCCCACAACGAAACTAGTCGCTCAGATCGTGATTTCGTGGTCACATGTGCTTGAATTTCAATGATTCAGCCTCTGCCTACGTGCATGGGGGCTCGTGCGTCCTACTTGAACAACCCATTTGACATCAACAAAAGTGGAAGCAATCGTGTCGTTGAGTGATGCACCAGAAGGTCATGCAATCCGACATACTGTAAACAAGTTCTTGACACTTTTCAATACTGCTTTCAGGTGCTAGTAGAGGAATCGGTCTTCAATGTGCCCTACGATTCGCTCGTGATGGTTGTAACGTTGTCATTGCTGCCAAATCTGTCACTGTTGACCCTCGTGTACGTGTTTGATACTTGTTACTTTGGTCCTGACTCGTGTTTGAATCTGACTCTGCAATCACCTTAGCTTCCTGGCACAATTTTCACAGCTGCAAAAGAGATTGAAGATGCTGGCGGAAAGGCTCTGCCAGTAGTCTGCGACATCCGTTTTGAAGATCAAATCATTAATGCGGTTAACAAGGCTGGTATGGTTGACTTTACGAGAAGCACGTTTTTGACATTCATTTGACGAACGTTGTGTAAACCTCTCCTAGTTGAAACGTTTGGAGGAATCGACATATGCATCAACAACGCTTCCGCTATCGCTCCTCATCTGATGATGGAGCTGGATACAAAGAGATTTGATTTGATTGTAAGTTTGACTGAGTTTGACTTGTTTGTGTTTTTGCTCACTCATCCACCTTAGAACCAAATCAACGCTCGTGGCACATACCTCGTAACTCGTCACTGTCTACCGCATCTGATTGAATCTGCCAAGAAAGGTCGAAACCCACATGTTTTGACCATGGCTCCTCCCATGCAATCATTAACTGGTAACTGGTTGAGTGGAAGAGTCGGATACGGAATGGGTAAATTCGCAATGTCCATGCTTACGCTTGGATCTGCTGAGGAATTCAAGCAATATGGGATTGCTAGGTACGGATGTTGCTGTGCATTTTATCATAGGATTTGGTGAAGTAACTCACCCACACCTTACAGCAACGCTCTCTGGCCATATTTGGTCGTTGATACCGCAGCCGTAACCAATGTTTTGAGTAGGTTCAGCTACCTTCGCCGACGTTTACTTCTTTTTATGTTTCGCTAACCAACGACTCTTTCGTAGTGGGCAAAGGAGCAGCACCCCGTCTCATGACACCACGACTGATTGCCGATGCAGCCTACGTCATGGTCCTCCAACCAGTTACATGGACTGGCAACTTTGTTTTGGACGAACCCTTCTTACGTCTTCTAGGGGTCAAAGATTTTAGGCACTACCAGGTCGATCCATCTCTGGATCCATCCCAGTTGATTGGCATGCCTGAGAAAGCCAATGCACCAAATCCATTTGTTAATTTTGGAATGCCTGAGATTATGGTTAAATTGTAAAAGCATTTGGTTTTGAATGTCCTGAATCGAAACCATGGGCTTATTGTTTCAAATAAATTTGAAGTGAAATTCGTATTTTTGAAAAGTAGTTTTTATGGGGTTTAATGAGTTGTTGAGGTAGCAAAACAGTGAGTGTTGAACTGAGCAAATTAGAATAACTTATAAGAAATCAAGTCAAAAGGTTGTGGTGCACACAGGAAATTAGAAAGCCGAGATTGAATCAGACGCGCGAAGCAGCGTTACGTGATCCAGTGAAAGGTCGACGACAGAAGGGACTATTTCAAAAAACGAGTTAGCAAAAAAAAAAATGAAGATCACATCAACTGGATATTTCTCGACGGAAACCACCATCGTAATAGCCTACCAGTATTGATTAACAGACAACCACTCCTCAACACACGTATGATGAAATACATGTCCACAAGGCAGTTTGGTCCCAACCTCCATAGAATTGAGACAAATCGAACAATCTTCGTCTTCACACCCGTCCTTTGAATACCGGACTCTCTCAAGGCGGTTGACGGATCGGATGTCGAATGGTCTTTCATCGGGGACTTCTCCTCGAAATAGGGCTAGGACCTAAATTATGTGCTTAGAATTGACTGTTGGATTCAGGCCGGTTTTTTTGCCCTAGCTTACCAAAACCCATCCACAGAATCCACTCAGCACGAATACGATAGCTTGAGCGAAACACGTCCAGAATACTGTGTCGGAGACGTTTGGCATGGCAGCGCTCTACCGAAAAATTCCTTATTAGTATTGGGAAAGGGGGAATCCGAATAATCAAAATGAAACAATGGTAAGTGTTCTGAACTTACACATTCACTTGACGTGGTCTTTGAGAATGCCAGTCCAACTACAATAACCAGACACTGCACAAAGTTGGTAATGATTTTCATGATGAGACATGGGAGAGATCTTCTGGCACTAGAACGAGTGAAAGGTTTGGTCAGACAAATACGAAAATCCACTACAACTCGTACATCGTTTTGGTTTTTGGTTTAGGTACCCAGAATGTATCTCATAGGTCCACAACGACTCGCTAGGTAAATTCAGGACTAGCCGCAAGTCCAAAAGGGCTTGCAAAAAGACAAAGGCTACTTCAACACACAGAAGAACGTATGGTTTCAGGTCACAAGTTACGTCCCTAAAACATCCTTGGGTTTGAGCGTACTGCTTTGTTTCGTCATTAAAAACGGTATAAAGAACACATACTTGTCTAGAATCAGAGCCCGAATACCAAAAGCAGCCAACACGAAAAGCCCAACTGCTTCTACACCAAGAACTGACCTACGTAAAACTCAGGAAGTGAGAACGGCGAAGAAAGAAAATGACAGTAAAGTTCATGAATTACACTTGCAAATCTAATCACCAACCCACACATACTTGACAACAATCCAAAACATGGGCTCCAACCTCTCATCATCTTCCGTGCGACTACTACTGCGTATAGCTTGACGAGCCTTCTCTTCTCTTCTTCTCCGTTCATCAACTCGTTCAGCAGGACTCATACGCACACCACACTGGCCACATTCATCGTACTTGTAACTCTTGTGCGTCCAAAATGGAAAATGGGTGTGACAATGTGTAGTTGGTTGTTGTGTGGTTTGTCGCTTGTGGAATGCTTTTTGTAAATTTAGACGATTGGGTGTTTCGTGTTGTTGGTGGATGTGGACGCCATGCTGGGCTAGTAGCGATGATGATGTGTCTTCAGTGGGTGGTGATATTGAACTGTTTGGTGGTCGTCGTCCATGCTCGATGTATGGTGGTGATATGATGGCAGATCCAGCAGGTGCTTGTGACGAAGACGAAGGTGACGAAGACGAAGTAGGACATGCGTACCGTTCCTGCAACACTTGTTTAAAAGTCACTTTCTCATGGTCACTACCCAATGCAGGAGTTGCTCTTCTGCTTGTGGACCGTTCTGGCACCAATTCATCAACGAATCGATTCGTCACCGATAGAGTGGGCGGTAATGGCGCCGGCATAAGCATCTCACAATCATCAATCGTAGTAGTCGTTTGCCTTGTCCTTGATCCTGAATTCGTTATTGGATGAATCAGGTTGCCATCCAAAACACTACCGTCGTTAATTTGGCTCCAACGTTGATGTCCCAGATCTGGATGGATTACAGAGTCAATAGACTGCAGCACGTTCGTTAGGGAGATATTTCTAGATATTGGCCGTGAATGGGCCCTTGGAGGGGTTCTTGTTGGGATTTCATTCTTGCTTGAGACCATGTTTTTCTCGATTCTCTCGTTTTGAAGGGATGGAGGCTTTGTGGTGATAAATGAGACAGTGATCCAGTTGTCCTTATTTATATCTTCTATGCTCTATAAGAGGTCCGCGAAAGACCGATACTGAAACAGATGAGGTTTTTGTGGGTTGAGAAACGACGAAATCGGTGCTGTGACAAGACTTGGTCAAACCAGATGAGAGCGAATGTACAAACAGAGGCGTGATATTAGTAATATTAGTTTGGATTTCCACGATCTTGAGAAAGTGTCTAATCATGACAGCACTGCCATTTCTGGCGGACCGAGGTGAGCGTGTATCACTATGAAAGGTTTATATAAAGCAGACGACAGAGAGCCAGCAGACTACATTGGGCGTTACCGCCTACTATCCGTATATGTAGTAAAGTCGCATTTGGATGATTTATGCAATAAAGTTGCAAGCACTGTAGACCCGGCCGTCTCAGTCCAATAGCTTGGGAAAGTTCAACCAGTGCCTTAGTTAGACACGCGTCACCGGAGTAATAGTATAACGGGGCAATAATAGCACACCTCTATTGACACCTACTTTACTGCATTTCTGTTGATATACCTTGCTTGCCTACATGCGGAAGACTGCAGTTACTACATACAACGCCTTTGCCTTGTGGGGGACTGAAACCAGATAACAAAGCAGCTCTTCATCCGACAGTCACGTATACCTCAGCCCCATTGTTTTTCAAATTTTAAGATCACCATATCAAGGTATCTGAACTTTGCTGAATGAGTATTCGGTACGTAGCGTAGTCATTACATGTTTGGGTACAGCCACGCACCATTGATATTTTGACAATTTTGTAACTGTGTGCTGACTAGCTGATCTTTTCTGTAAGCAGGCTAGGCTCATGGCCACTGGAAAATTACCAGATAATGAACTTGCTATAAGGACTAGATCTCGAACTAGATCGCCTCCTGAAAACCATGTCGAAACTCATCGTGCTCAGTCAGCATCAGACCTGCTGGAAGTCACATTCCATGGCTATATCGGCTCACCACAGGAAGCGTTGCTTGTTATTGAAGGATGCAGGCTAGGGATACTGCAAATGGTGCCTGTAAGTGGTCCTTTTATAGCTCGATCTCCATTCCTCAAGAGTGCAAAGCATTGGCTCAACCCGTGATTACATTAGCGTCGCCTCAACCAGAAAGAGAGACAGGCTCTTATTAAATCTGGCGCTGTATTCGTCTTTATCGAGACGTCTGGCATGCAGCGTTGGACTGATTCGATCGCATGGTATATCAATCCTTGCGTTGAGGTTTTACCTATTTCCCGAAAGATTCACGTGCTTCCATATATGTATTATCATGTAGGTCGCCATCAAAGTTGGAAGGAGCCTTCCTCGTCTACAAAGAGTCTGGAACCGGGGCTGCGGCGACGGACACCCGTTTGACCAAAAGGACCATATCCGTCACAGCCGACGACGGTATCAAGTACCACTTAATCAGCTACCATACGAAATCCGACATCAGAAGTCTCAGCATTGCCAGCCAAGATCCACGTCTGACAGGCCTACCAATTCAAATGCATATAACAAAGGAAATACAACGAGACACCAATAGGAATGCGTCACCAGCATCACCAGCAGCATCTGAGCATGGTGCTATGCCTGTGATTCCAGAATATCAAGCCACTTCCAGTATAGGACGTGACAGCCACCTCCAAGCTAGTGCTACTATCAGTAATATACAGCAAACACCAAACGATTCACCACTACTACCACCAATCATGTCACTACTATCATCAAATATTAAGGAACTACTTCCTCCAAGCTCGTTACCACTTCCACCAACGAGCGCTGCAATGACCCATCCAACACTTGTAGCAAGGTACCATCCATACCAACCTCTGTATCAATCCAGATTCCCACCGCAGGATCAGCAGATGCAAGCATCAACACCAGCACCGCTTCGTTACCTATTTGATGATTGGATTAGGAATCGTAGACTTCCTCTACCATGGCCAACACAGCGGCAACTAGCAGCCATTGTGTATCCTGCCATACAACCCAAAACGTAAAAAAAGTGAGATTCAGCTGCTTGAAACAAAGTAGTTGAATAAATATCTGTATCTATAAACTGTATTGCCGTGTCTCTACGCGACTTCAAAAGCCAAAATAATTCAAACCCAATCTGCATCCAACACAAAAAAATAAATATCTATGTCTAGTGTTTCTACGCCAATCCAGCACTATTACTGTTACGATTCCCCCAACGTCTCAGATTATTAAACGTTTGACGACAGCACGGACAATCATCTCGTTCCAGCCACCACTGTTCTATACAGCCATGATGGAAGGCATGTCGACAGGGTAATTTAGTAGCTTCATCCATCTTGTTCAAGCATATGGCACAATCTTGGTGATTTGGATCTGCGTTTGTGCCCATGATTATTGGTTTGATGCGGAAGAGGATGTCTGGGTTTGCACCTCCAATGTCGGGGACTTCGACAAGGATTCCTAGACATGGCTATAAAATGACAGAACGTTACAGGGTTATCATTGTCAATTTGTGTTTCTGCTATTTTTTGCTGAGAAAACACATACCAAACACCAAGCTGGTAGGCCGACACACATGAATAAGCAAAACTGTGCAAAGCATGACCAGAATGCTGTATCTGCTACCATCGGCATTGAAGATTCCTGGATTTTGAATGAACCAAAAAAAATGTTTGAGAGAAACATTCCCAATCGCAACTTTCACAGCGTATCTACATACACATGACGAATCCATAGTCTTGACCAATCCCATCCCAGTCAAGGTCAGCACGGCCTGCGTAAAGATAAACACCATCTTAATAAGGAAGACTACCGACACTGCTTCAGCCCTGCAAAAAAGGGAATGAAATATCAGCCGTAATGTTTGAGTACTACCAAACTCTATATTTGCTCACCTCTTATGATTCTCCCAAGTCCACAACGACTCCCTCGGCGCACAAACCACAATACAAAGATCCAGCACCATCTGCGAAAACAGAAACACAGCGTCTACGGCCAAGAATGCATACACTTTGGTATCGCATATCGAACCCCAGTCATTCACGAGAGCCCATACACTAGCAGCCGTTAACACTCCAAGTGCAACTAGCTCTGCACATGCGATTATCCTATTATATGCGGTTAGCATTCAATGCAAATCTCTTTCTTGTTGTCGTTGGTATGTGAGGCTACCTTGCAAGAAGCCATGTCCTCTTATCAGGAGTTTCACCCGATCGTTCCAGCATTGAAGCCCTCAATCTAGCTTCTCTCATGCGTCTTGCTTCTCTGCGTGCACGGCGCGATGGTCTGCTTTCATCGTCTGGTTGGAGGTATCTTCTGATTCGCGGTATTGAAAACCATGGGAACCGTGATGGTCGCGTTGGAGGACGGGGCGGTAGTCTTGTTGGAATGTTAGTCACTGATTGCTAATTGATATGAGAGGAAACGGTTTGTATCGGCAAGCTGAAAACCCACAACGACGACAAATGCTTTCGCATGTTTGATTAAAAACGCACCTGTGGGGTTGATGCCGGTAGATTAGCAGGATTCTGTTCGGATAAGTCCCCAGAGGACGCGATGGTGCAATCCGAGTCTCCTCTTTGGCAACAAGGCGAGGATTCATCCACACCAGATTCCTTTGTTATTATTAACGACGGCAGTTCTGGTAGATCTCTGGACTCTGGCTGGACCGAAGACGGTGGGAACAATTGAGAGCCACAGTTTTTAATAGATCCACCTGCGCCCGTCCCATCTATAAATCCATTTGGAGCAGCCGCCATTTTAGTAGCTTTTCGGTGTGGGTTGTGAAGGGTGTGCGTTTTGATTAGACATTGAAGTTCATTACGGAAAGAAGCAAGAAACACTCATGGAATTTCTGATTGTAGTTTACGTGATTTATGATGACTACATAACTATCAAACTCAAACTCTCAAACCACACAATTTAGTCTATCGGATTCCCAGTAGTATACACTATCATCGTCTTATCATCAGAGACAGTCGCCAGTTTGCTCCCATCTTCATTATAAGCCACACCCCACACCTGGTCTGTATGCTCTGTAAACGTGTGTTCGCAAGATTTGGTGTCCATGCTCCATATTTTCACTGTCTTGTCACTTGACCCTGACGCTAACTGCATACCATTCGGATCGAATGCGACGCTGAGAGCCCATGATGTGTGACCTTGGAAGGTTGCTATGGGATTCACGTGTCTCCTACATGGAAAGAGTGAGTCTGTAATATTCAGATTAGCCGGGGAAGCACCAGAGACCATAACTTACACGTCAAATACATTGACCTTTTTGTCATCGGATGCAGTAGCAAACAGTTTAGAGTCCGATGAGAAGGAAATGCCACGTACTGACATGGAGTGTCCTGTGTATCAACATTGAGATCAGTCAGTCCCCGTGCAAAGAATTCTGAGTCTTCTGTTTAACCTGGATGAGTATGCACAATCCTCTGTGTCGGAACATCAAACACATGCACCTGTCCAGTCTCACTCCCAGAAGCCAGAAACAGACCAGACGGTGAATAAGCGACAGAAAGTGCAAACTTCCTAGTTCCTGAATCGAATCCGTTTTCGTGTAGTTGAGCTCCGGTTTCTAATGACCACACGTTGATTTTGCCTTGATGTGATCCAGCGGCAATGTGTCGCCCATCTGGTGATATTGAGACTGTCCATGCTTCCACTATATAGTAAAGCGATATTGTTAATTAATTTCGGATTAGCTTGAGTGGATTTGCCTTGTTATTACCTGGCCCAGCATCGATTTTGCGAACCGCCGCACCTGTTTGCAAGTCCCATATCCTGATATGTCCGTCCAGAGCAGACGAAACAGCCTCTGATTCAATAAAAGAGTATAAATTTCTTGAGATCTAGTCTGAAACAGCTTCAACAACATACGAGTGCCAGCAGCATTCACATCCACAGATATAACACCCAACATATGGCCAGTGAGAGTATGTGACTGCAGCACATCATCTCCATTCCTATTCAATAAAATATAATCAATAAACTATGCCTCTTCAGAGTTCCATGAAGGCCGAGTGCTTTCACAAACCAAATCTTTAATGTGTCGTCGACTGATGCTGTGACGATCTTGTTACTGGTTTTCGACCATGCCACGGCCCATATTCCATCATCGTGCGCTACATATATTGTAAGAATGTTAAGCACCTTTGATTATTGTCATCACCATCTTCATTGTCAAATTCTGTACCATGAGGAAGTGTTTTGTGGACTCGAAACTAGTGGTTGAAACAAAAGTGTTAGTTGCATTAAATTCTGTAGATCTTTAAGACGTACCATATCGCTATATTCTCGTTCTACTTGATCTCCTCCTCTTCATTGATCTAGCGTGTCACTGGGATGTTTCGCAAATGCACGAGGAAGGAGCGAACCTGGAGCCTGGAGCCCACCTGGAGCAAATTCGAGCTCAGAATGTGGTTGATTTCGATTGCTACCTCATTTGCTGATTTATTCATTTATACAATACATTCATAATTCCTATTCAGAAGGGACTATTCTACGTATTCTACGACAAAGCGAAACATACACCCACAGATGATCGACGACGTTTATACGTCCTTCTTCCACATCGTGCAACGCTTCAATCATTTTGAGCATCTGCAGTAGCTTATGCTTTCAAACTGTCGATGAGATTAGGACAACACCACGACTGCTCCATCTCCAATAAGTCCTCTCTCTCTCCCTCGACATCGATCTCCACGCCCCACTCCTCGCGTTGCATATGTTTATTAATCTTTAGATGTTTTAAGTTGGTTACCGTACCTAGATATGGGACGGAGCGCTCTGTTCTTTGTGGTTGAGCCAAATGTAGGTCTTCGAGATTTGGGATTGGATGCGTGGGTAAGGGATTCAAAACTACAGGAGAGTTTATAGATAGTTTACGAAGAGTCTGTGCATGGCGCGCAACGACCTTCGCACATACAGTTGACTGAGTAACGTCGCTGGAGATGACCAGGGCCAAGCGTAAGGTGTAGTAGTCCAAACACCGTCGAAGAAGAATTGTTTCGTGATGACCGAAGAGTCTGGTACCATGCATTCGCATGTTGGGCACTACCTTGCTGTCTGGGCCGCCCAATTCCGACAAATTATCAACTACCACTACCAAGTCAATTTCGATGACGCAGCTTCAGACGTCGTTACGAGACTTGATTTCTTTATATTTGAACAATGAAGATACTGAGTCTTTAAGAAGAAGGAACATTGTGAAACATTAACCTGTACGGAGGTTTGTTTCCACATCAAACTGTGAAGCGACCTAGTATTCCAATTACCCTTCACATCCTCATGATACGAACATTACATTCGATGGGAACTAGCAGTAGAGAATTAGATCAACATAGTCCTCATCTGGAGATTCGACCTCACTTCTCAAGGTTTGACCGCTTACTTGTGAGATAGAGGACCTTATGGTTTGCAGGGCACGTAATGTGCTTCACATGGACTCCTTCATGTGCTAATTCAATATTGAAAAATGAGTAAGCATTCTGGGTCATTGACAGCAGAAAGCTCAGACATTGACACAGTAAACTCAACACAGGCGCAAGCAAGTACCTTCGAAAGGATCTTTAAGATATCCAAAATCGTCTTCATAGTCGACCTCCCCAGGATATCTATCGTCATCATAGAACTTGCTGCCATCAAAGTCCATGTCAAAGTCCATGTCAAAGTAGTCCCCATCAAAGTCGTCCATGCCGTAGAAATCCACTCTATAGTATCCATCCTGGCTATAGTAGTCTCTATCTTCAGCATCTTCCGTGCCGTCAAATAAGATGTCATCCCTTGAAGGACGGAATGACTTTTCAACGTCTTCTCCCTTGAGTTCAACGACTTTGTTGTCCTTCTGTTCATTGCTAGAGTCAGCAGCTGGTGCAGCAAAGACTGAAGTAATAGCCAGTAGGAATATGACAAACTAGAAATTGAGGGTGTAAAGGGGGTGAGAGTTTGTTGTGAAAAGTTGGAGAGAGGACGCAAACATGAATTCAAGACAATCATCCTCAAATACCGTTACATTTCGCATCGGTACCAATTCATAGCTATGAAATTGACTTAGATTGTTTAGCAGGCCTTAAAGTGACGAGATGAAGGGGCTGAACGACCTGTCAAGTTTGAAGTCGGCTAGTGACGCCAAACTGACAGCCACCGCCATGATCCGATGTCATATGCCGAGAACAGCTATTTCTAGCTATTGTTATATTCAGGAAGGAGCATGTAAGGGATGAGACGCACTTTCAAGGGAGCGTCGGCTATTGCTTCGTCACGAAATCCAAAAATTCTGGCTCTTTTTTTACAAACAATCGAAGGTCTCTTGAACTGTGATGCCAAGCTTATCTTGACTGCCTGCATCCGAACTTTGACTTTTGCACACAGATTACTCTTCTCGTTATTGTACGATCATACACGCAAACAAGAAACTTGCCCAACTTACAAACAGATTCCAGGAAAAGAGCCATGCTATCCAAGGTACGACGGGTGAATTGCAACGGTCTAGTGTCTCTACTCTGGTTCGCTAAAGATTCAACTTTGACTTGGAACCAACCTCACATCACACTCACGAACCAGATCCTTATCACGTTATTGGCAGCCTCAACTGCGTTGGCATCGCCAGACTTGTACGGCAAAGGCTACTACGAGAACGACTTTTATGGCAAGGGTGTCTACCATGACGGCTATTACAAGTCTCCCAAAGTCTTTGAAAAGGACGTCCTTGTTGAAAAGAAGATCTTCCCTGAAGAAAGAGTTGAGATCTATGGTCCTCTTATCGATGTCTTGAAAACGGAGGCCGAGTTTAAGAGTATGAAGTACCCAGCCGTCGTATACCCCAAGGTTGCTCAAAAGGAAGAATGTAAGTCTTTAGTTTATGTCAAAAGCATCCTACTTTGAGAGATACGTTGTGGTTCCTGCAATCGCTGCTTATCGGTGCTGCTGCGATGGCACTCGACTCTCGTGTCACAGTCTGACATTTGAACTTGTCATAGTTTATGAAGAACACCTTGACGTCACGTATCTGGAGAAGTATCCTCCTAAACCACAAGGAACCATTTTGTTCCCTTCAGAATATGCCAAATACGAAACCAAATCTGAAGGTCCATTTGGTAAGTTTGACAGTCGAATACTACTAACTTGGCCACCTTATTCGCTGACAGCCTGCCATAACTTTCTTAGTCCCGTTGTTCAAAACCCGAAAGGTCTATGCTGATGTCTTTGAAAAACAATTTGGTAACTAATCCAATGTCATCTCTCATTGGTCTCAAATGTTTGAACAAACCTCTCTTACTTGACATTTAGTATGCCCCAAGTTTGAAAAGACGATCTATATCCGTATACCTGGCAAGTGCGCTTGTGATCCAGTGAGCATCCACCCAAAACTTCTCAGAGCAACTGAATATCCGTTGCACCTGGACGGCTCATTTGGTGACCATCACGGTGATGACGACGTCACTGTCTGGGAAACAATGGGCCCAGCTTTCTCAAGGAGGGTGGCAAGAAATGATGGTATGTTTGTGTCAATGCGAGCTTGGTTCTGCTGTTTTGAGGTCATCACCTTTGCAACAGAATGACGCGTTGACGCAAACACGATTTCCTTTCTAGATTTCAGTCGCCATCACAAGTTCTAGTTTCATAGATCTTGTACAATTGGGGAAAAAATCTGATTTTTTACTTATTGATGAATTTGGTTTCTGTTTCAGTCTGATAGAGGCGAGCTTGTCTTGTGTTGGGCTTAGTAATTTTACGTTGAACCAAGCGACACGAAATTGTTAGTTTTCCACGAACTAGGGTGGATCCAGCGTATACAAATCCCTGGATAAGAATCGACCAAGAAGTTCCTTATGTTGATGCCACGTCTCATGTTAAAATATGCAGTATGAACTTGTTCTTTCCCACTCAACCAGTTGTTAGGAGCAGCGCAGCGTGTCAGCCGTATCAAAAAAGTGATCCCGTAGGTCATTGACGCGTAATTCCTATCAATTTGCTATCATCTCTCCTTTCGTGACTGATCTACCACACTACATTCAATTCGTCCAAACGCCTTTGACTTTGCATTCGAGTTAAGGAGAAAGATGATGGCAACAGGTAAGCTCAAGTCCAATATATCTGCATCGTTGATACACTACTGATCTCTCTAGTTCTAACATCCATATTATTGCGTGTCAATTATTAGCGCATCTTCCCCGAGGAGACATTACCATTTCTCGACCTGTGGACGACTTGACTTCATGGCTATGTGATTCAAATAATGCTACTCATATTAGATTAGGTATTGTCATCGCCCTGATCTTGATTGCATTCACTCGTTTCGCTGACATCAAAACCACACATTTTACATTGCGCAGTCCATTCATCTGGCCATGATGAAGGTATGAAGGAGCTATTTGATTTGAATAATATGAATGATCGAATGAGATCCGGCTTGTTGGTAACACTAATCTTTATAGACTTTCATCCTGAATTCACATACACTATATTCGGTGACGATCAACGGATATTTGGATTCAAGGACTTGATTATCAAGGTACCTACAATTGATCCTTGTGTATGTTTGTAAATGATGTCGCTCACCGGACGCTACCTCGTCATAGTTGCATTTTGCTGCTGGATCACTTTACACATACTTGGACATATCTTTTACAAAACAAATCAAGACTTCGCCAACTCAGCCTGCTTATGCTGATGACGTGATAGGTACTCTCAGATCACATATGCCACCAGGTAATACCTATAGCTCGTTGTTTCCGGGCATCGATGCAGACATTCATACGAATCTTTTTTTGGTGGTTTAGGAATGACAAACAACCTAGACGCATTCATGAAACGGGTTCAAGAAGATGAAGCTACATTCAAACCACACGGAAGGAAGATGCACGAGTATACACCGAAAAAGGGAGATAGTGATTCTGTATTTGAAATCTATCATGTAAGGCAACAGAAGAAACACAGCAGTTCAACTATTTGCGTGTGATTGTTCGCATCACTGAAATTTCTTTCACGATCACGCGTAGGCAACATTTGCTGATCGAGGATTCAAAGAATATCATGAGAGGATGAGATTGTTTGCCATATTTTATATTGAGGGCGCTGTGAATCTTAAAGAGGATGAGAAGTGGGAGTGCTTTGTCACGTGAGTCCACACTGCTTGAAGGACTTTTTTTTCTTCTCCTGAACATGACAGAATTCTTACTGGTTTTGACACCTACTGCGGTAGATACGAAAAGAGGAATGATGGCAGTCGAGATTCATATACCCTAGTTGGATACTCGACATGTTATCCCTTCTATTGCTATCCAGATGGTGGTAAGAGCAGCTACAGCATTGCGGTGACAATTTGAGGTCTTGATCACCTTTTTTGCCACCATAGTTCGAATGAGTATCAGGTACATCAGTCTCACGGTGGTACCCTATTTGTTTACCAGTCTAATGCGGCTTTCTGCATGATCAACGTAGCCAATTCCTGATCCTACCACCATATCAAGGCCATGGACACGGTGGATCTCTATACGATTTCCTATATCAAGAATTCAGTTCTCGAAACTCACCAATAGATTTCGGAAGCATGACTTCATGGAGTCAAATGCCTGTCAGGGAGATTAGTGGTGAGTTGTCGGTGTGGTTGGCAATTCGAAACGTTGCGTTTTGGACTGATTCCGTAGTTTATTTTTTTCGCTGTGGTCTCATTCACGAACACCTCATACATAGTTGAAGATCCAAACGAATCCTTCCAACTCATGCGAGATCGTCGAGATGTACGACTAGCTCGAAAAGTCAACATGTTTGAAGGATTGAATCCCCCAGCTTCGTTTGCATCTATTAATGAAGCTGTTCGACGGTATAAACTTTCCAAGGTATTTTGACGTTGTATGGCTTTTTTGGCCCCATGTTCAATTTTTCTAATTCTACTACAAAACACATCTAGTTACAAGGAAATAGAACATACGACCTCTTCATGTTCTCATCCCTACCAACATCTACAAAACAAGATTCACCATTGACTAAGGCATATCGTCTTCACGTTAAAAAGAGGCTGTATTTGAAAAACATCGACAAGATGCTGGGAGCAACACCTGCTGATGTGAAGAAACGATTGCAGCTGTCTTATGATGGTTTGGCGACAGAGTATCGATTGCAGTTGGATCCTAATACGTGGAAGACGCCTGTTGAAGAGGAGATATGAGGTGGAGCAGCATTGTGGTTGCTTTGGTTGATATGGAGGGGTCTGTAGTTGTAGATTAGTGTATAGTATCGCAATATATAAGGTAAAAACTCGGATTTGTGGAATTATTGTTTGTATATTTCCAGAGGAAAGGTATGGAAAGTTGTATAGTTCGAATGTAAACCAACTCATTCTGTTGTCCTGCTACTACTCCTCATACTACGACTGCTACTCTCACTGCTAACATCACTTTTCTCATCCCACTTGCGAAGAACCTTATTATCATCATCGTCCCTGTCAACACTCAAGAGCAAACTACCACCAGACGGCACATATACACTTAATTTATGCTCTTCCTCACTCTCCTCCTCATCAAAACTTCCAAACCCTCCCTCAAAATCATATACAACCCCAAAACAATTCAAGCACGTCGTAAACCTATTGGTCTTCGTAGCGCAGCTATATACCGTGCCAGTCCAAGCGTCATGACCCGGTTATTCCCGTTCAGGTATTCGAGTTTGAGCAAACGTGTTGCAACGTCGAGCACAAAGCAATCATCTGCTCCGTATGGTATATCCAATTCAAATAGATCCGGATAGAATTCTATTAAGGTTTCGACGTCCAGGTAACCTAGCTTTACATTCCACCGTGAGATTCTAAGTGTTGAGAGTTTGTGGCGTGGTGTTGTACTAAGGTTAATGGCGTGGGCCATTCGTGTCGGTGGTTACGGATGTGACGCCTGGAAAGTTATGTGGCTCGCTACCTGTGAATTCGGTGACGTGGATTGTGGTTGAGGCAACAGCGTTTATGCTTGCGTCCGAACTTTGAGTTGTTTGAGAGGTAAGGGTATCGTCGATCACAGCTTGCCTAGTAGCATCACTACCACACAGTATGATTTCAGATACGCGATCCTTTCTCACATGGATCTTACTGGACTATTTGCCAAATATGGAGCCCCAACGGCAGCCCAACGCTGCATCCTACTGTCTGCAAAACCCAAGAATCGACATAACAGCTTGCAAAACCTGAGGACAATTACACATCAGCACATATAAAGCAGCTTCACCAACCCCACTCAGAGCTTCAGATAAGAAGAGAGTCCATGTTACATCCAGTCTGTGGTCCTGACGAGCATCTTCGTCCAGGTGTGGTTAAAATTGTTGGTTGCCTGCGTTATTTATCACCGATGGGTCCTTTTTACATGTGTTGCATGGTAATCCATTCCATTTGGAGTGCATCCATTCCATTCCTTTGTTCCTTCCTCAAAGCAAAAAAGCTCTACAAGTCATCAACATGATGACCTTGAATCTTGAAACCCATGCAACACGTTTCCTGGGATGCAGGTCCACCATCACTAGAAACCATTCAAGCGCATTCTTTCAATAAGAATATATCTTTTTATTTCGAGAAAATGCCAGGTAAAGGTCAAATGCTACACATCGTGACGTATACATGCCAAGCGAGAGAGATCCCTTTTTTTCAAACTATCGAGCGCCGGCAGTACGGACTAGAATTCAAAGAAAGGATTCGTCAGCAAAAAATGTCTACCACTTCACCTCCGAAACATCAATGATCAATGAAGCCATACCAGCTACGATGCTCATCTACCCAACCACTACATAACAATATGAAACAAGATGTTAGTTCAGCCAAACACCAAACCGAATGCTCTCTCAACCTTCCAAACTACACACCTGAGACAATGCTTATGATACATATGTCCACACGGCAACTTCTTCCCCTCCGTCATAACCTCCAAGCATATAGCACACGACGGTATCCCTCCCGAAATCGATCCGTCTACTGACGACGTACTGCCTGCTGCTGCTGCTACTGCGGCACCGACTACTGCTGAAGATGATGTTGTGCTTGGAGCTGGGAAGGTCACTGTTTCGAGTCTATCCAGAGCACGAGGACTTATTCCGCGGTATTCGGGCACTTCGGCGAATGCGAATACACATGGCTAAGTTGAAAAGAGTGTAAGAGCGAAAAAAAAATGGAAATAGAAGAAAGGAATGGCAAAGTGATAAACTACCCTTTAACTTACCACACAACATAAGGGTAGCGACACTATGACAAAAGCACAGCTATGTGTCAAACAAAAACGTCAGACGCAATTCTCTTTTGCAGCATCTTCTAAATCTGGCTTAAAGCAAGTATCTCACGCAGATATTAAAGATATTAAGAAGACAGCATCTATAGTCCGCTGCATAGTAGGTATCTAAAGGGTAATCAGGAATGAGTAAATGCGTAGTGAGGTAAATTCTCGTGATACGGCTGGGAAGCATATTTTTTTCCTCCTCATCAATGATGAAACAAAATGCACCTTCACTTACACATTCCAGATTGACAAGCTTAACAAACGTAAATCCCACGGGTATCATAATAGTCTGTCCCAACAGCACTACTATAGAGAACAGCCATATTATAGTTGAGATCCGAATCCTAATGCAAAAGGTCAAATTATGTACCGAAATGTCCCAAAACGTCACATCATACCTCCGATGATTATACCAAGTCCAGCGAGATTCCCACGGCAATCCAACCAACAACGCAATCCCACACCCCGTCTGCATAACCAGAAACGACACAACCGCCTGCAAGAACTGATACAATCTGACATCACACGTCTGAGCCTGATCTACATACAATGCAGCGCCACCAATGCCTATTAATGCTCCGAATGTCAGTGTTTCGAGAAGCAGGAAGAGACGCCATGCCATCCATATGAGTCGCGACGGACGACCTCGCGATGGTGGCTCAGATTGGTCGTTCTCTGCGTTGTCGTTCGGGGTATTGGATAGCGGGCTTGCGAGTGCGTTGTGGTGATGGCTGCTAGACCGTCCGTTTGCAAGTGCTGATGAGCGACGGCCGTTGGGTATGCCGTTTGATAGGCGGGGTGATGATGTGGTTGATACGTCGCGTCCGAAGAAGGAGGATTGGCGTTGTGGCGGGGGCCCAGTGTCAGTACTACTATCACCATGTAGCACTATAGGTTGCGGATCTGGTATAATTGTGGGAAGTTGAGGTGGTATGTTGTTATTACTATCGGAGGTATCAAAGTCCCAAGCTGACGATGCTGGCAACGTAGGTGACTCGTTGTAGTTTTCTATAGCGGATTCATTACTGCTAGGCGATGTAGGTGCCTTCTTCCTTGTTGTGCTTGTACTCGTCGTGTTTGTATTGTTTCCGGTCTTTACAGGTGATTCCTCCGTCAAGTCAGTTTCGGTAATGAGATTCACCGTGGATATATTATAGTCTACACTGTCTCGTCCTGCATGGCTATCCATTGACAAGCGTACTTGTCCATTGCTACCGTCTTGATTTCCACTCTTTAGTTTACTCAGACGCACTGTTGGCCGGTCGTTGGGAGAACTGGAGAGCACGTCTGAGTAGTTGGAGCCTATCGAATCTTCCGAGACTCGTCCTGGCAGACTAAAGTTTACGGATGAAGCTTGTTGGTCCATTTCTCCAAACTTTGGATGTGATGTGATTTGTTGCCGGCGATAATAACGAGAAGAGAGACGAGGTGATGCAGTTCTCTATTGTGCCGTTGCGAGGGCCAATATAGATGCGTATCTAGTGTCACCAACTATTGCTTTCGATGAAGCCGTTTCAAAATGTTTGGTGGGTGCGGATGTCAATTTTAAAGCTTCTTCACAAGGTTATCCTAAGGAATGAAGATACGAGTCAGCATGCTCTATCAAGTACTCAAATCATCAATATAGCGGCTTTCTCCCCTTCCGCGAACTTACTCGTCATCTTCATCTTTTATCTCCACGTATCACTGCTGTTGCCGAAAATTTAACGAATACAACAAACACGAGACGGTTTTGTTAATTTGCTCTGGATTTGCTCAATATGAAAATTACTCTGTATATATTTGACATGCATGAGGCTTGCTAATATTTACAAACTGTGGGCTTCCTCTTTTACAACAATGCTCCAAAACATATCACACCTCCCTCCCAAACTTCAATCTCCCTTCAAAACCACACCTCTCAAAAGCCAAACAACATCCACCCATTATCAACACCACCACCATTCAAATCCCATTCGACAATAGCACCATCCCGACCTTCACCACTACAAAAGTAATCAACAATAGGCTGTTCCACTACCACAACCTCTTGTTTGACAACCGGCAACGAGATGTCGCAAGCACCTGGCTTGATGGCATACTCGAATCCCTCCATAATAGCATTGACGATATCATCACTACTAGTACTATTATCATGACATGCACAAGAATACGATGCTGAAGATGCTAAAGTAGATGACGGTTCAGGGGTTCCAGATGACGACATTATAGATTCCAAATCCCATAGGTCGGGTATTGATTGAGTGGTACCAGATGATGATATGCCTTCTTTTTGTTTTTCATCGTGCTCGTGTGTTGTATGAGTGGATGCATCGGCCTTCAGTTTGAAGTTTGGGTGATCGTGAGGATGGTCTGCACGGTCTCGTAGTTCTTGAATCTCCCTTAGTGATGTGAGTTCGATGTCAGCAAAGAAAGCAGAGATCAATATGGAAACATGTTTCAAGTGTTGGATACCTAATAGCAGCTTGCACAATAACGAGCTTGGAAGGCCTCTTGACTTGCGACAAGGTAGGCAGCATTCCAGCCAAATCAGACAGTTCTACAGCCAGAGATTCACGACGAGCTCGTTCAATTGCATTATGAGTAGACCGACGTGACGTATTCATTCTGCCAAGAAACGGTTTTTTGACGTGAGTGTTTCCAATATTAAAGACTACAGAAATCGGGCAAGCGAAGCAAGACCATGATTTCGATGGTGATTTCGAATATACGTACGGAGGTGCATAAGGAGTCTTGCGACGCCCAGGCCGACGTCGTTTAGGCCCTTCATCTTCATAAGCAGAAGAAAATGTCGAAGTCGACGATACATCAGATAATGATCTTTCTCGTTTGGCTTGATTGATTGGCAGCGATCGGCCTTGTTGTGGAGCAGGCAAAGGTCCAGTAGGCATGAATGGTGGTGGGCGAGTTGATTTACGGGTTGGCATTTTCTTGTATTTGCTTGTGGCGATGTGGCGTTATATAGAAAAGAGTTCGACAACGAGATGGATATCAAAGAGTTTCGATGGTTGGAAGGGAGTAGTAGACTTGATCCTTTTATAGATTCTTAAGGCGGGTATTAGGAAGGTGTCAATTCCGGTTCAACGTTCACCTGATGTGCAGAGTAATTTTCAAAGCATCACGATATATGGGGAGTAAATTCTCACAGTTGACAAGCGGTGGGCATGTGAAGGTGTTTTGTTGGGATGAGAGTACAGAGATACCGTGAAGGTATATAACTCCATCGTCAATCCAATCTACGAAACCATCTTTTCCGATCCATTTTTATTCAAACGCAACGAGTTCGTGAGGTTGTTGGGCGTCAACGCATCTCGTGATTTTGGCATTATTCCACCTACAGCAAATCTTCCAGCCGATGTTGACAAGAGTCGTCAAGATAAAGGGATGGGAGTGCGTTGAAGTGTTTTATGATTCGTAATGTAATGGAAATCTTGGCTACAATTCCACGTTTTGCATGCCCAAATGTTCTCGATGTCGTCCTGCAAAGGAACCGTGAGAAGGCGCCAATGAGTCACGAGGGAGTGAGAATGTGCTATTACAATGGATGAATTTGGAAGTATGAGTTGATGATCTGCAGGCTCTTCACCTTTCACAGCAGCAAGGCATTCAACGACAAGTCCAAACATCCAACATTACATTGTGCATTCACAACCACAATGCTTACAACGAGACTCACCCAAACGACTCTTCTCAACGATTCTCGATATATGACGAATTGTATTTTGCTCCACCAATATCGAACTACTAGCCTTACTCACAAATGAGTGTTAATAAACAAGAAACCACGAATTGTTGCTTGTTGCAATCGGCCAAACACGTAAAATCACGCGTATATCTGGTATTAAATCAAGACTGATTGGCTGTTCCATATCATTCAATCGAATTTCGTGTCGTAAGGCTCCAAAATCGCTTGATTTCAACTCGATCCTCAAAACCACAATAGAACGATATAGAACATGTAAAGCTCCTTCATCGATTTGATCTCATACGTGTACCGACATGATACTGATAGTGTCTTCCAACCAGCTCCAGCATGAAATTGCTTGCATAACCTTTGATAAAAAAAAACCCAGCCACCCCATCTCCGAAATTAAATTGACGCATCTCTTACTTACCACCTCACGAACGCAAACGACATTCCAGTTATCCTGTATAACAGCTACCCCACTTCCACCCATCCAATAAACTCACGACCAACAAGCAAACATGACATCCAAAATCCCAATAACAATCCGCCCAGCAACACCATCAGACGCTCCCACCCTCTCATCCTTCGCCCAACGCCTCTTCACAGAATCATTCGGAGCCCAAAACACGGCCTCCGATATGCATCTCTACGTCACATCCGCATTCAGCCCATCACTCCAGCTCGCTGAAATCAACGAACCCGACACACTGACATTCCTCGCAACACACGCAGACACATCCGAATGGATTGGATTCGCCCGTATTCGGATCTCAATCCCATCACGCGCTGAACCATGCGTGAATGGCGAAGGCCCTGTATGGGAGTTGCAACGTATATACGTGGACAAGAAATATGCTGGAAAGGGTGTTGGCAGTGTGCTGATGGACAAGTGTATGGAGGAGATCAAGATGAGGGGAGGCAAGACGGTGTTTTTGGGTGTTTGGGATGGGAATCCGAGTGCACAGAGGTTTTATGAGCGGTTAGGGTTTGTGAGGGTTGGTGAGCATGAGTTTATGTTGGGAACTGATCAGCAGGTGGATTGGATTTTGCAGAAGGCTGTTGTGTGAGGTAAGTGAGTGAGTACGACGATTGGGTCTTGCGTTCATGAACCGCGCTCGTCTTGTTTGCTCACTGTCTTTGGGAGTATAGGGAAGGCACCATCGTCCAGTATTAGAATGTAAGAGCATGATTTCAGTGTTCAGATCATACACTGTCTGTGCCAGTGTGTAAAGAGGGCGACTTCATGACTTTTTTTGCCAACTCTCTTCTCACCAACAGATAGAAACTCCTGATCCACAACAAAACCACTGAACCCAATACAAATACTACCATCACTGGTTGAATCTCCTTATAATGTTAACGACATACAAATACATACAATGATAAAAAAAGAGGAATTGACTTTAAACATAACTTTTTGAGCTTTACAATAGGAAGAAACCCTGCTTCTGTTCAACACTTAAACGCTCTAACACTTCTTCTATAATACATTCCTGGTTCGTTTCTCATAGTACACAACGCCACCAGGTAGATTCATGTTCTTTTTATCAGCAGCCGACGACAAGGGCGAGAAATCCAACTCCAAGAATGACACCAATGCGGGCTCTGTTGACAATACTGGATCCAATGCGACAAATGATAGGAGCGTGGAGAAGGCTGTTTGGCGGGCTTGTATCAGTTTGGGTGACATTCGATCTATGTGACATTGAAGTTTTTGTGTTCAGTGTTGAATCTCATCTTCCAACAGAGAGAGCAGACTTTTTTGTGTATACCTAACCACGACTTTTTGGGAAAGGGAGGCAATCCAGACATTCGTTCAGAGTACTTTTTCAGCAGCTCACGATAGAATTGTCTGAATTCTCGATATCGTTTGTTCACGGTAAAACTTGCCGGCGACGGGTTGTTGAATACTGGTAGGCCTGCTCTCAATAACTAGTTGCCAGAGGCGAAAGAGCGTTAGATTGGTTTGGGATCAACCAAAAAAAACACTCGTGCAGTGTTAAACAATGGATGAAACCTCTCCAACCAAATTACTTACACGAACAAGAATGGTGTAGGTCGTATATACATTCTTCTGAGTTCCTCTAGACGTCTTTTTGGAAGCTGAGGTATGAGAAGGTACTATGTGACGAGAGAGGCGATGAGTTGCATTCACCAACAAAAAAGCCTTAAGATATCACGCATCACAGCTTTACCAGTCATAAATATCCCAGACTTGTAAAAAGCGGTAGGAATAGGCAAAGAAGGCGGCGGGATACGAATAGGCATAGGACGTTGTGTATCGTCCTCACGACTCCTTCGACTACTGTTATTACTACTTACAGACGGCCTTCGCGAATTCGACGACCACGAATCAGATCCTATGGCAGCCATCGATTTCGATCGTCCATGTTTACCATTACCACCACGACCTCCTTCAGCAAACAATGGTGGTACAGGAGGCACCAACGTACTCGAACTGCCCATATTACTGCTATTAAGACCTTCAACAGTACTATGTCTACGATTTCTCCAGAATGCAAAAGCTGGTGGCATTGCTGCTGATGTTGGTGGTGTTCGTGCACCGCTGCTAAAATCAGTAGCGTTTACGGATTCACCAGCGACTGAATCACTATCTGCAGAGTATGGTGGTGCACTCCACTGCTGAGATCCAAATCGGTTTTGACGAATGTATGCAT